TAGTCCAGCTTTTCTTCTCCCAAGCTGAAGAGAAAATGATTTTTTGGTTGTTGTTTTTTTTTTAACTTTGTAAACTGTATAAAATTCCATTGCATATGGCAGAAAAACAAAAAATTTTAACAGCAGAAAGGCTATTTATGTCCTAAATCTTATTTTTTTTTATGTCCTAAATCTTAGAAAAGATCTTTCTAATTTATTCTTTCTCTGGATTCATAATTTTGATTATTGGCACCTCCAACCTCTGTCACTGAAGCTAAAAAGAGAAGAGCCATGTTTGATCTAGGAAAAGGCCAAGCAAAGGGAAGAGGGCCTGAAGAGTTGAAGTGGTAATGATGTAAAAGAGGAAAAGAGAAGCTCAGTGCCCAGATTCATTTCAGAAAACAAATGTACAAAAATAAGATGATTCTGGGCCTCCCTGGTGGTGCAGGTGGTTGAGTGCAGCACTGTGAAGCTGTCTGCAGCCTCTGCAGCACGGGTTCAATCCCACCGGCCAGGGAGATACACACATGGCGCAGCAGACCTCTCCTGTCTCACCTGCTGCTCCTCTCAGCAGTGTATTTAGTCAGTCTCCCTGTATGGTTCTCCACTCTGTCTCTGGTGAATCCTCTCACCCTCCCGCATCTCTGGCCTGTACCCCGGTTCTTGTATGCATGAATAAATAAATCTTTAAAAAAAAAAAAAAGAATATTTCTTAAAAAAAAAAAAAGTAAGATGATTCCTCAAGTCTTCCTCAATAAGGTCTATTGGTCTAATGATTCCTGAAGAGCAAGAGTTCTTATTGCCTTAGTCATTCTTGCCCATCCCCACCCTACCCCCCAACCCTATGCCTTGCACCAAGTTGGCATCACTAAATATAAGTCATAAGAATGACCCCTGCACTGCTAGGGAAAAGAGGAGTAGATAGACTGAAAGCACAGGTGTTTTTCTATTTCTCTGAGTGATAATTATTTTCAGGGAGTTCCAAACCTATTCTACACTTGTCAGTGACTACTAGACTGATCTTCACTATGATTGTGGATTCATTCTAGAAAAGCTAGTGAGAGTGATGAGAAAAGGGTAGGTTAAAACACCGCAAAGCTCACCATTCGTTTTTTTTCTTTTTAAAGATTTATTTATTTATTTATTTATACAAGCACTGGGTACAGTCAGAAGTGCGGGAGGGTGAGAGAATTCACCAGAGCCACAGCGGGGAGCAGAACAGGCAGACCAACAAAATACACTGCTGAGGGGAGCAGCGGGGGAGACAGGAGAGTTCTGCCGTGCCATGTGGGTTGCTCCCTGGCTGCCCGGGGATCAAACTTGTTCTGCAGAGGCTGCAGATTGCTTCATAGTGCTGTGCTTAACTCCTTGCACCGCCAGGGAGGCCCTCCTTTTATATTTTGAATGGCTTTTATTATTTTTTTAAAGATTTATTTATTTTATTATTTATATAAGCACTGGGTACAGTCAGAAGCACGGGAGGGTGAGAGAATTCACCAGAGCCAGAGCGGGGAGCAGAGCAGGCAGAAGAACCGAAGTACACTGCTGAGGGGAGCAGTGGGCGGCAGGAGAGGTCTGCGCACCATGTGGGACAATCTTCCTGTGGCCCGGGAGCATCCGGGGATCGAACCGGCGCTGCAGAGGCTGCGGGCAGCTTCGCAACCCAGCGCTCAACCACTGCACCACCGGGGAGGCCCAGAAATAATCTATTTAATGTATAAACCTTTTTGTTCATTTATATGTTGATGTGTATTTAGGTTGTTTATACTATTTTGTTATACTATTTTGTGCAATGTGCTGCTCTGAACATTTGTGTATGTTTTTGAGTGTTTTCTTTTAGGATACCTGGAAGTAGAATTGCTGGGTCATATAACTTTATGTTTAACTTTTTTCAGGAACCACCAAACTCTGCAGTGGATGGAACCATTTTATATTCCCACCAGCAGTGTTTGAGGGTTTCCGTTGAAACATCTTCACCAACACTTATTTTTCTGTTTAGTATCTTTGTGGATAGGCCATGTTGTGATTTTGATTTGCATGTCCTTGAAGGTTATTGCCTGTGGGGTGGCAGTGTTGAATCTGCGCTGGAAGAGGGAAAGATGTCCATGTGGAGCAATGAGAAGCCTAGGGGGGCTGCACCGGAAGTATGTGCAGCCCCCATCCAAAGGCAGCCTTGTATTTATTTGCATTGAGTACAAAGGTGGGGTAAGTACATAGGGAGTGTGCATGCGTGGCAGATACTGGTTTCCAAGTATGTTCCTCATACCAGGACTTTTGCCCTTGGTGAGAGGCTCCCTGCACAACCCTATACCTAGCTGACAAGCAGGAACTCTGGGTACCAAGACAATATGCCCGAGAATAAGGGGGGCTAGGAATTCCACAGAAGGTTACACTCTTACTGCTTTCAAGAGGGTCCCACATGGCGCGCAGACCTCTCCTGCCGCCCGCTGCTCCCCTCAGCAGTGTACTTCAGTCCTTCTGCCTGCTCTGCTCCCCGCTCTGGCTCTGGTGAATTCTCTCACCCTCCCCTGCTTCTGACTGTACCCAGTGCTTGTATAAATAAATAAATAAAATCTTTAAAAAAATAAAAATTCAAAAAAATAAAGCCAGTAGCCTTTTAAAAAAAAAGTGCCTTCAGCTTCAACAGTTTGATTATAGTGTATCTTTTGGATTTCTCTGGGTTTATTCTATTTGGATTTGAACTTCTGGGATGTGCAGATTCAATTATTTTTGACAAATTTGAGGTTTTGACCATTTCTTCAAACATTCTTTCTTCCCTTTCCTTTCCTCCCCTTCTGGTACTCCCTCTATGCAAATGCTGTATGCGTCATTAAGTTACATAGGTCTTTTAAGCTCTATTTATATTTCTTTCATTCTTTCTTTCTGCTCCTCAGATTGGAAAATTTCTATTTACCTTCAAGTACACCAAACCTTTCTACTATCTGCTCACATCTGCTATTGAAACACTTTTTTATTTCAAATACACTTTCAGCTTCAAATTTGTACGGCTCTTTTTTAGTTTATCAGTATTCTTTATTTGTTCACATTGTTCTTAATCTTGGTTCTATGAGCAAATTTGAGACAATTGATTTAAGTCTTTGTAAGTCCAACATTTGTGCTTCCTTGGGGATGACATTAATTTCTTCTGTGAATGGGCCACTTCCTTTGTATGCTTATTTTGTTTAAAACATTTTGATCATTGTGATAATTTTTGGAATGTAATAATGTGATAACTTTGAAATCAGATTCTTCACTCCTCAGTGTTTTGTTCCTTACTGTGGGCTGTAGTTAATTGTTTAGTGACTGACGTCTAAACTAATGTTTTGTAAAGTCTCTCTTCTTTGGTGTACTAGTCTCTGAAGTTTTCCTTTTGCTTTTGTTCAGCTAGTGTTGGTAGATTTCCTTGTGTACCAATGGCCAAAAATAGAGTAAAAAAATTCCCCATATTACACACTGGCTATTGCAACACATCTTCAATGCGCAGGTAGGTCATTTTAAATATATCTTAGACTTCATTTACTGCTTGCACTAGGCAGAGATCAGTGAGCAGGGAACACAAAGTAGTCAGCAGTGAAAGAGTTGGCTCTTCAGTGGTCTTTTCTGAGCATGCAACTTGCCATGGACATGACTTTCTCACTGATAATTTTGATTTAATTTCCTTAAGATACTGTCTCCTCTACTTTTTCTCTGGGCTTTAGGCCTCAACTATTACCTTTTGCCCCCCAGTGAGTGTGGTTTATTCATTTGCCTTATAGTATTTTCGAGAAACGTCTGCCATTTTTCCACCCTGGTTGAATTCCAATTTAGATGAACGAAAGGTTAAGATTAAGACCTCTGCTCCCTCAATTTGCAGCAACATGGATGGCACTGGAAGGGATCATGCTCAGCGAAATAAGCCAGAAAGAAAAAGAAAAATACCGGATGGTCTCACTCATAGCAGGAATCTAGAAAACTTAAATAAGGGACCAGGAAAATGAATAAGTGAAAATCAAAATCAACAACAAACTATGAACCAGAGACACTTTTTGGGGGGTGGAGGGCAGGAGGGGAGGGATTGGGGTCAGAATGGGGGGGTTGCAATTGTATGGGGAATATAAAAATAAAATTTATTACTTAAAAAAAATGCATTAAATCTTTCAAATCATCAAAACAAACAAAAAAACCTATTAAATCGGGCCTCCCAGGTGGCACAGTGGTTGAGCGCTGGGTTGCGAAGCTGCCCGTGGCCTCTGCAGCGCCGGTTCAATCCCCAGCTGCTCCCCAGCCACCAGAGGAGGGTCCCACATGGTGCGCAGACCTCCCCTGCCGCCCGCTGCTCCCCTCAGCAGTGTATTTTGGTCTCTCTGCCTGCTCTGCTCCCTGCTCTGGCTCTGGTGAATTCTCTCACCCTCCCGCGCTTCTGACTGTCCCCAGTGCATGCATAAACAAAAACAAACAAACAAACAAAAAAAGACCTCTGCTCCCTCAGAACCAGGGAACAGGGGTGGGAGGCTGGGGAGGGGGCGGTCCATGCTGAGTACACAAGTTGCCATCTGTCTTCAAGACCACCACGGAACTAGGGAGGGGAATAGAGCAAGGGCAAGTGAAATACCACAAAACTTTCCTAGTTTTTAAGGTTTTTTCCTTGATTTAACATTTGCTAACTGCTGAAAATATGTTTTCTCCAGAGTTCAAATTGTTTCTGAATGTTTTTTGTGTCTGTGGAGGAATGGGTCATTGAAGTTATCTACTCTGCCATTTTTGCTGATAGCTATTTTCAGAGTGCTTGACATTGTATATGAAAACTTATAGGGCTAATTTAAAGGCTATGGATGTGAAAATTCTCCAAATACTTGTGTTTGCACCTGTCATGCAGTTAAACTAGTTGTATTAGCGTTCCTAGATAAATCTTATCACAGTGAATGATGACTTAAAGGTGGACTTCAGGTCCTGTAAAGGATAGTCGTTTCCCACTAATCTTAAACTAAAATGTGCAGCTCTATGGAATCCAAATGAAAGCCAGGGATGTTTACTTTGAAGTACCTGTATAGAAGTTTATTCTAGGAATTGTAATACAAGTTGCTTAATCCTATAGCCATAACCACTGCCAGATAATGGGGCAAGCAAATTAATGCAGAAACCAAATTTATTAATCACAGGTTTTACCAAGGGTGATTTATTTTCTGATATTATACACAGCTTATGTTGACATCTGATTTTGCCAAGAAATTATATGTTTTATTAAGATAATATTTCTGCAAGGTAAATAGAGTTCCTCGAAGTAGCACATTTTGTAATATTTCAATAGGGTTTAGTTTTACATAGCTATAAAAGTTTAATATTTCTAAATTTATACACCAAACTTGATGTGGACATAAAATTTATTCTTTGTATATATATATATATATTCCTTCTAAGTGTTCTAGTTCTTCATGCTGAAACATCTCAACTTTCAGAAATTTGGCTTTTGGATTAAACTGTAAGCACCATTTTAAGGTTTAAGATTTCAATGGAGAAAAATAAACTCACTTTATTATATACAAAGAAAAAAGTTTCATCAGACAAAGTATATAAGTTATAGTCATAATATCTTCAAAAGTCTAAAAATTACTAACTTTCTACTCAAGACACAGGCCTTAAAATGGAGCCAATAGTTGTTAAGCAGAGCTTTAGGTAGTTCTCCCATAATAGCCATTCATATTCTAGGTAACTTGGCTTTTTATCAACTCTTTGTGGGGGAGGAGGGAATAATGTGTTAGGCCTCTAAAAGGAATACAATGTTTTTACATATGGGGGAAACAAATTTAAAATATTGAATGAAGGGTAACTATTGGGGTTCTGTTATTGTTGACAGTGAACTTTAAAGATAATCACAGAAATGTTACAGATTTCTAGGTAAATTCTAATAATAAGAATGGATACTATTTTATAGCTCTACAAATGGTTTGGTGTCAAAAAGGAGAAAATGAGCTGAAAAGGCAGAATGGGAAAGTCTAGAAAAGGCAGCAGCAAGTACAGGCATAATTCAATCACAGCAAGAAAAGACAGGAGATGATCCTTCCTGAGGACAAGTATTGGTAATATTTACCCACATAAGGTCAAGTCTGGAAGAACACTGCAGCTTCTATATTATCTGCTACTTAATAATATACAAGAAAAATAGTTTTCATTTGTTATGAAAGGCTATTTTACAAAAGCTAGAAATGCATATTTACTCAATGTAAATGCCAAATTAAACTTAATACAGTGAACTAAAGGTTTGACAGAAAAATGGGTAGACATATTAAACACAACTAAATTGATAGAATTGCCTCGATATAGTCTATTCATTTAAAATCTATACACAGGCTCAAATTCTGAGGTTACAGTTTTTATTTTTCTTAAAAAATGAAAGTACCGATCCTCAAATTAACTAAAGATTGAGCTGGGCTCGCAGAGGTAATCTGCTCCTTGTGACAGATTGTTCTGTAGTTTCTTCTACTTTAGACCTCTCCACTGGATTGACACCTCTGTTTTCTTTGTCTTTTCCATGTGATTTTTTACGCTGTGGATTTAAGAGAAGAAATTAAATCAATATAAAGTAACATTAGATACATATTAGCTATATTCTATTTTCAAAGTTCTCTGGGTTATAGTAAAAAAATTGAGTGTAAAAAACTTCAGAATAGGCTCAACAAGGCATAAGAGCCAACAACTGGTTTGGCAAGTACAGATGAATGCCTTCATTTAATCACTAATAGAAGAAGTGGGATAAAAGAAATACTAATTTTCTGTATGATTTTCCAAGGTATGATTACAGATTTTACTGGTTCTCAACAGGGAGAAATTTTGGGCCCCCAAGAAACATTCGGTAACATATGGAAAAATTTTTGGTTGTTATAACTAGAGGGTACTAATGAAACTAGAGGGTACTTCTAGTGGGTAGAAGCCAGGGATGCTGCTACACATCATGTAATACACAGAACAGGCCACCACAGCAAAGGAGTATCAAGCCCAAATATCAAGAAACCCTGTTCTAGGGAAACAAAGATTTGCTATCATGCAAAAAGGGCATTACTTATTTAAGCAGATAATTTGATATATGGGCTACCTCTCACACGCAGCTGCTTTAATTTTCTTTTATTTTAAAAACTTCATCACAGATTCAGTCATTAATGCTGAGACTTTGGAGTTTTAATCATAAATCATAAATCAACTTTGGAGTTTTAAATTCAGAAAAATTTTATCAGACTGTTAGGAAGGAAAAATAATATCTGGATTTCAGTTGATAATCTAAAAACCAATCCCAAATGCTTTCTGGTATTACAGGGACTTCCTAGCTACAACTGAGTCACTAAGTTTAGCCTCTAAGATGCCTAAAAGGGCTTCGTTGGTGGCGCAGGGGTTCAAGTCTCAGCACTATCAAGCTATCACCAGCCAGTGCAACAAGAGCTTAGTTCGATCCCTGGCCAGGTTGCTGACACACCTCTCCTGTTTTGCCTGTTGCTCCCTTCAGCAGTATATTTCAGTAGATCCACCTGTTCTGCTCCCCACTCTGTCTCTGGTGAATCCTCAGCTCCCCCCACCCCATCCTCTGCACCTCTGGCCTACATCTCAGTTCTTGTATGCATAAATAAATAATAATAAATTTCCAATCATGGATTACAAAGTTACTAAGATTTTGTTTTCTTATCTTTCTACCTTTTCTTACCTTAAAAGAGGACAGGAGATGGATGAAAAATGAAAACAAATATAGAAGTCTCTAACAGTACACAATAAAGCAAAAGCTAGGAAAAATCAGGGGGTAAAATTTAATAGAATCTGAGAAAAAGTATGACTATTTAAATCAGAGACAGTGGACCTTCCTAGTGGTGCAAGGGATTAAGATGCAGCACTATGAAGCTATCTGCAACCACTGCAGCACGAGTTCAACCCCCCGCCAGGAAGGTGACCCACATGGTGCAGCAGACTCTCCCGCTGCTTCCCTCAGCAGTGTATTTCAGCAAATCTGTCTGTTCTGTTCCCTACTCTGTCTCTGGTGAATCCTCTCACACACCGCACCTCTGGCCTACTCCCCAGTTCTTGTATGCATAAATAAATCTTTTAAAAAATAAATATATAAATCAGAGACAGTGAATCTTTAGACCTGAGTGGAAAGACCTGCCAATCTGTTAAAGACACATACACGCATTTGCCTATCATAAGAAGCACCTTGACTATAAAATGTAGCTATCAATGGCCTGCGTAAGGAAATCTTCACCACACAGACTATATAGGCTCATGTCTTCAAAAGAGGGAAAAATGCTAGGCAGTTTATAGTATTTATAGTACCATATTCCCAACAGTGTTCAAAAGGGAAGTGGGGGCCTCCCCAGTGGCGCAGCGGTTGAGCGCTGGGCTGCGAAGCTGCATGCAGCTTCTGCAGCACCGGTTCTATCCCCGGCTGCTCCCTGGCCACCAGAGGAGGGTCCCACATGGCGCGCAGACCTCTCCTGCCACCCGCTGCTCCCCTCAGCAGTGTACTTCGGTCCTTCTGCCTGCTCTGCTCCCCGCTCTGGCTCTGGTGAATTCTCTCACCCTCCCGCTCTTCTGACTGTACCCAGTGCTTGTATAAATAAATAAATAAATCTTTTTTAAAAAAAAAAAAGGGGGGGGAGTGGGAGAGGTCACAGGATTTAATAACAGGATCAAGGCAGGCAAAAAATAAATTCAGGAAACATGGGGAATAAGTCAACAAAAGAAGAGCTCCTGGCAAGTGAAATCACTAATAGAATCCGAGAGGTCTTTGGTTTTGCAATCTTTTTTAAACTGCCTAGCCTACAGAGTCTGCCTATGGGCAGGGAGAAGATCCCAAGACTTCCGGGCCTCCCTGGTGGCGCAGCGGTTGAGCGCTGGGTTGCGAAGCTGCCCGCGGCCTCTGCGTTGCCGGTTCGATCCCCGGCTGCTCCCCAGCCACCAGAGGAGGGTCCCACATGGCGCACAGACCTCTCCTGCCGCCCGCTGCTCCCCTCAGCAGTGTACTTCGGTCCTTCTGCCTGCTCTGCTCCCTGCTCTGGCTCTGGTAAATTCTCTCATCCTCCCGCACTTCTGACTGTACCCAGTGCATGTATAAACAAAACAAACAAACAAATAAATAAATAAAACATGCCTCTATTTAAAAAAAAAAAAAAAAAGATCCCAAGACTTCCATGTCAGAACTGCAAAGAGAGAAATGTACCTCCTAGTGTCCATTCTGGTATGCAGGATATAGAAAGGGGATATTGATAGGAGTTGAAGATTACCAGCTGAGGATGGTGATTAAGTCAAATTTTGCCTCTATTTACCTTACAGAAAACCCGATGATCAACATTTGTGTAAATAATTTAAACTGGTAAAGTTAACAAGTCATTACAAAGAAATGACAGAAAATTGTTTGCTGTTCTATTTCCAGAGTAATGCCTTTATAATGAACAGCAATCGATGGACTTACATCTGATGTGGAATGATTATCTGATAGGAAATAATCAGATACCTGGAAAAATGGAACTCCACCACTTGATGGACAATCCATACTGGTATCTACAGATGTCTCTTGACTTGGGGGTTCTTCAGCGGTATTCCCCAGATCTGTCTTTTCTTCATCCAAAACCTAAAATAAGAAGCTTGATTAGTGATTAAGCCCAAGGATTTAAAAATCCTCACAAAAAGCAGTTTTCTTCTTTGAAAATAACAATGCCCATTCTAGAAAAGTTAAGCCTCAACAAAATTTGTAGCAAGTCTACAAAATAGTGAGAACAATCCATAATGTTTTAATGTAGAACAGAAGTACCTATACTAGAATGTTAAAAGTCATTATCTCAGAATGGGATTAGATTATTTTTTATTTTCTTCTTTGCAATATTTTGATTTCCCATCTCTTCTATAATTACTATAATTAAGAGAATAGACTACAGCGCTTGATTGTCTAGGTTCTAATTCCAACTCCATCCTTGTGACAAGATAATTCTTAGTTTTAATATGTAAAATGGGGATAGTATTATGACCCACCTCAGAATTTACTAAGTATGTATGCAAAGTGTTTAAAAATAGTGTCTTGCACATAACATACACAACATAAACACTAGCTATTACCTATTAGATTAATAATAAAAAATGATTCAAAGAAACCATTTTAAGGACCAGGCAATTATTACTAATGAAACACAGGACAGGATTCAAAGGCAAAGAATAAAGTTCTTCACATAAAGTTAATGACATCAAGAATTTATGGGAGAGGGTCCTCCCTGGTGGCACAAGGGGTTACGCACTGCACTGTGAAGCAATCCGCAGCCTCTGTAGCATGAGTTCGATCCCCGGCCAGCCAGAGAGCACCACACATGGTGAAGCAGACCTCTCCTATCTCGCCCGCTGCTCCCCTCAGCAGTGTATTTCAGTCAGTCCCCCTGTTCTGTTCCCCACTATGTCTCTGGTGAATCCTCTCACCCCCCCGCATCTCTGGCCTATACCCCAGATCTTGTATGCATGAATAAATAAATCTTTAAAAAAAGAATTTATGGGAGATTTCTAAAATTATGCTTTAACTCTTACCTGACAGGTCTCTTCTTTATTGTTTTCTGAACAGTTTAACATCTTTAAAAGCTCAGGCTGTTTCCTTTTCAACTGTTCAAGGAGCTGTTCACGTGGTTGGGTTCTCACTAATGTTGATGGGTATAAATAATTTTTCCTTTGTGGTGTTGTACCTTTAGTGGACATTACATAGAGGGAAAAATTAATAGGTGGATATGAACAAGACTTTCTGTTCTTAATGCTAGAACTTATACTTCGCACTGAGTCCTTGTCATATAACCATTGCCACCCATGGGAATCAGTCTTATCAATCAGGTATATATTACCTGTATGAATTAATATTTCTCAGCTTGAGAATTGATCTTAAATAGAGTCAATTTTTTCCAAACCCACCCCCAAAACACAAAATTTCCATCTCTGAGGTAAAACAACCTAACTTCACTGGAAAGTAGACAATAAATAAATAAACCAACATTCTTTAGCACCAAATCCTTTTATAAATAAGTGCTTTAAAAATTAACAGCTTTGTGCCTCCCTGGTGGCACAAGGGGTTAAGACGCAACCTATGAAGCAATCAGCAGCCACTGCAGCACGAGTTCAATCCCCAACCAGGGAGCTACCCACTTAGCACAGCAGACCTCTCCTGACTTGCCCACTGCTCCCCTCGGCAGTGTATTTCAGTCAATCTGCCTGTTCTGTTCTCTACTCTGTCTCTGGTGAATACTCTCATCCTCTGCACCTCTGGCCTGTACCCCAGTTCTTGTATGCATCAATAAAAAAAAATCTTTAAAAAATAAATAAATAAAACAGCTTTGAAGTATAATTTACTAACCATAAAATTCACTCCATGATTTTTTGGGTAATCTTTAAAAAAAAAAAAATTTTAGGGGTCTCCTTGATGGTGCAGGGATTAAGTCTCAGCACTATCAAGCTATCACCAGTCACTGCGGTCTGAGTTTGATCCCAGCCAGGTAGCTAACCCACATGGCGCAGCAGACCTCTTCTGTCTTGCCCGTGTATTTCCCCTCAGCAGTGTATTTCAGTAGATTCACCTGTTCTGCTCCCTACTCTGTTACTGGTGGACCCTCTCACCCCCCACACCTCTGGCCTACACCCCAGTTCTTAATTTCCCTTGTAATGTACCTGTTGGGGTATCTAGTTTCAATTCTTGCTGCAGAAAGCAATTAAGCGTAGTCAAACCAATTTTTATGTTCTCATCAAGTTCCAGACTTTGTGCCATTGTATTTTTTTCATCAATAGTTATCCGACCAAGAAAAACACTATGTTGATTCTCATGAGCTGCTTTATGTTCACTTAATTTTTCATTAATCTTTGAACATGAAGTCTCACAATCTTGGTTTACAATCTGTGAATGATACAAGTGGGTTTTCATCATTAAAGTTAAACTTGTTGGTGTTTTATTCAATATAGCATATTCCACTTTACCCTGAAATTTTCCATGTTTGAAAAATACCTGCAAAAGTTGAGAGAATAGTATATTATAAAGCCCCTCTGTATCCATTTACTGATACATAGAATATAGCTCAAACAGACTGGTCACTTACTCTCCCTCCCCATTCAGGATTATTTTAAAGCAAATTCTGTATTATTTCATTCATTTATTTCAGCATACATATCTAAAAGTTAAGAGATTTTTAAAGACCACTCTCACATAAAATTTAATGTTGATTTTTTTATATGAAATACTAGTCAGTGTTCAAATTTTACCAATTTTCTCAAATGTTTTTCACAATTGGTTTGTTTGATTTGGTTGAGATGTCTTTAAATAGGTGACTATATTTATTTATCCAAACTGGAACATTTTTATGAAAGAAAGGAGCCATTCTTAATAATTACCCCAGCACAACAGATATAAATAAGGACTGCTCTGAGGAAATTAGGACTTAAGGTCATCTAGTTTTACCTCTTTTGATCTATAGGCTTATATGTTCATCTGTCCTCTATATTATCTGCAAATCAGTTAAATCCAGAGGCTTGATCTAAGTCAGTGTTTTCTGGGCAAGAATATTTCATATGTGGTGCTGAAAATATACATTGTGATTCTTGTGTTAAGATTTATCAATGGGTTAGGTATGATCATGTTATTAATTTTAATGTTCCCTATCAGCTTTTGATCAAATGGTGTATATAGTCGTTACTATCAACAGGGCATTCTAGGGGACACAAAACCTTCATTAGGGAATATGAAACAAAATGGTGTTGTTTTATCAATTCTTCTTTATTTTATTAGCTAAGATTCTTCTATGAAACTTTTCATTCACTACCCTACTAAACCAAGAAGGAATACCTGTGGGAAAGACAAATGGGATGTTCAATTGTTTCCCTTTATTTACCAATTTTCAGAATAATTAACTGCTTCTCTAGATAATCCAAAGGCCCATGAAAATTTTTATGGGTGTGTTTGCATATATTTGCTGTATTTTAATCTATTATAGCAATTACGCTTTTTGATGCTAAAATTTTACCACCTTAAAACAGGGGAAATATCATCAAGTTGGCTATTATGTCTTTTTGATACAACCCCATTTATCTGTAAAAACTTCTATACTTGCCAATGACATGATCTCTAGCTTATCCTGTTCATTTCCTGCTTCAAACCTGAAATCAGCTATTTCTCCATGAGCTGGTGCCTTTTATTGAAAGTAACTTATCTACTTAAACTTTTTTACCTGGTTCCTGAGAATGTTAGTAAAATCCTCTTACTGCACAATAAAGAAAAACCAAGCCACAAAGCATTCATGCAAGTGTTATGTACAAGCAAGCCACAGACCGATCAATATCTTTTGAGCAACCAGAACAATATCTTAAATACTTAACCTGCAATAGCAACTTTGAACGTAACTAAAGTAAAAGACATATAAATAGAAGATATCATATATCATAAGACAGGGTGCTCTTCACTGAAGATATCAACACATCAATGTCCATGATAGTCCAAAATCCAATAGATAGAGGCTAGATTAGACAAATGTTAACTTTGAGATCTAAGACACATATAGTGAAATAACATCATACATAAACAAACCAACTCTTAATTCTTTAAGATTTAATCACTCATTATATTTTAAAATATCATTTGTTTTGGTCTCCCTGGTGGCGCAAGGGTTTAAGCACCACACTATGAAGCGATCCGCAGCCTCTGCACTTCTGCAGCACAAGTTCGATCCCCAGCCAGCCAGGGAGAAACCACATGGCAAAGCAGACCTCTCCTGTCTCGCCTGCTGCTCCCTCCAGCAGTGTATTTCGGTCATTCTGCCTGTTCTGTTCCCCACTCTGTCTCTGGTGAATCCTCTCACTCCCCACATCTCTGGCCTGCACCCCAGTTCTTGTATGCGTAAATAAATAAACCTTTAAAAAAAAAATCATTTGTTTTGAAATCAGTTCTTAGCCAGGAATATTTTAGGCATCTTATTATCACTATTCTCCCGCAGAATTGGTTCCAATTATAAGAAAGTTATTACAAAAGTCATTACCTGCAGTAAGTTCTGAAGTTCTTCTTCCCTTTTATTTAAACAAGATACCCACTGCTCAGAAAAACAAAGTGTATTCATGTTCAGAGTCTCACATCGCTGTTCAGTCTCTTGAGTTATTATTTCAAGGTTGCTGTTGAGTTTATCACAGTGATTCACAGACTCTTCAACCAATTTTGTACCTTCTTGGTTAAAATGTTTGAGTTCACGTGACACATCATCACAATCAGCACAAAATTTTGTATTGTAAGAAGCTGTTTTGCTGATTATATTCTTACATTTCCTAAAAAGGAAAATTACATTGTTAAAATGGAAAACCAAGATTCAAAGTATAGGTAACTTGTCCAAGATCACACAACTTATAAAGTGGCATGTTTGAACCCAGGCAGCCTGGCTCCAGAGTATATGGTGTTAATCTTCTACACTGAGAATGAATGCTGTGTCAGTGTATTTTCACAGCAAACTGACATCACATCTGCTGTCAAATGACCTATTCTGTTTGTTTGTTTGTTTATATATATATATATATATATATATATATAAAAGCACTGGGTACAGTCAGAAGCACAGGAGGGTAAGAGAATTCACCAGAGCCAGAGCGGGGGAACAGAGCAGGCAGACCAACGAAATACACTGCTGAGGGGAGCAGCGGGTGCGGCAGGAGAGGTCTGTAGTGCCATGTGAGCCCTTGCCGGTGGCCGGGATTGAACCGGCGCTGTAGAGGCTGCGGGCAGCTTTGCAGCCCAGCGCTCAACCGCTGTGCCACCAGGGGAGGCCCTCAAATGACCTCTTAAATGTTTCTTTTTCGTAAAACTTTTTCATAGTCCTCTTCCAGATATAATGCTTTTTCTTGTAGTTCTTAGAGCAGTAACTGTATGATTATTAAAATTAAATCTACTTAGATGTTTTATTCCTCCTACTAAATTATGTTACTTTTAAAAAAAGATTTGTTTGGGCCTCTCCGGTGGCGCAGCAGTTGAGCACTGGGTTGCGAAGCTGCCTGCAGCCTCTGCAACGCTGGTTTGATCCCCGGCTGCTCCTCGGCCACCGAAGGAGGGTCTCACATGGCGCACAGACCTCTCCTGCTGCCCGCTGCTCCCCTCAGCGGTGTGCTTCGGTCCTTCTGCCTGCTCTGCTCCCCGCTCTGGCTCTGGTGAATTCTCTCACCCTCCCGCGCTTCTGACTGTACCCATTGCTTATATAAATAAATAAATCTTAAAAAAAAAAAAAAGATTTGTTTTCACCAGCGAGACAGGAGAGGTCTGCTGTGCCATATGGGTCAGCTCCCTGCCCGGGGATCGAACTCTTGTGGCAGTAGCTGCCAATAGGTTGATAATGCTGACCTTAACTCCTACTTCACCAGGGAGACCCTAAATTATTATGTTACTCAAAGGCATCTCTTACATCCTCTAGCCTGTTCTCTAAATTGTCAAGCCATTCTATTCTTAAGCAGTTTTTCATTGTCTATGACATAAATCAGAAAGCCTTGTAATAATTATAAAGTTATACTGAGCTGTGAAAAACTATACATATAGCACACAAAGTACACTGTAACATAAACACGATATAAAACTGTCAGTTAGAATATATATTTTAAATTCATTAATGACTTCCTTCTCTCTCAGAAAGGTTCCTTATGATAATATTCAAAGTCATCTCAGAGGGCCAGAGTTAAAACTTGAGGAATGAGAGTTACTCTGTGTCACCATTAGATGGCACACGTGTGAATAAACCAAGTAATTGTGTTAAAAATGAAGTACACCTACAAATTAAGTAGAAAAGACTGAAAAGGGATAAGAAATTTAAGGAGTAAGCATGGTGAATATCAACACAAATCTATCCTTTCTGGAAACTTACAACCTAGTAAGATGATGAGATTTGTTAATGACTATAAAACAAAACAACAAATACTAAAGACAGTGAATCTCGAACTTCACCAAGTATACAACTGGCATCAATTCCTGGGTGACTGATACAGAGTCCCTGGATCATACTTTGATAAACATTGATATGGACAATAAATGTTAGGAAGACAAGAAAAATAGTTTATATAGGCTTTAAGAAAGTATAGTATAGTTCCCTTCTTATTTCTACCTAACTCGAATATTCCCTTCAAAACATGGAAGCAGCCAAGAAACCTTAATTCTAGATGTAGGAATAAAAAGTCCAAAAACTCTCTGAATTCAAAATCTAGAAAGAAGAATTTGGAAAGGAAAATGATATAATGAATAGGATCAACAGGATCGAAAAACAGATGTAGGAATTAGGCAGTAAACCAGGTGATAGCTAGAATTCTAAAGCAGCCAAGTTCAACAGAAATATAATGGAGCCATATTTGTAATTTAAAAGTTTCTAGTTGTATTAAAAAAGAAAATACATAAAGCAATCAAAGTAGCATAAAGTAACCAATGTACTTAGGATGTATACAGTATATAGAAAAGTAAAGTTTATGAAAATACGTATGAGATGGGAAGGAGAACTAAAAAGCATACCACTGTAAGATCCTTTCATTACACATGAAACAGCAAATTACTTGAAGGTGAATTAAGTTAAAAATAAACAGTTTATTATTGGGCCTCCCTGGTGGTGGAAGGGGTTAAGTCTCAATACTTAATGAGGCTGTCCGCAGCCACTATAGCGTAAATTCGATTGGCCAGGGAGCTGACCCACATGGCGCAGCAAACCTCCCTTGCCTCACCTGCTGTTCCCCTCAGCAGTGTATTTCAATAAATCTGCCTGTTCTGCTCCTCCCTCTGCCTCTGGTGAATCCTCTCACCCCCACACCTCTGGCCTACATCCCAGTTCTTAATGACTTGTGTGCATAAATAAATAGATTTTTAAAAAGGAAAAAAAGAACATCAGTGAGACAATCGGCAAAATTTTAATTAGGGGGCCTCCCCGGTGGCGCAGCGGTTGAGCACTGGGTTGCGAAGCTGCCCGCAGCCTCTGCGACGCCGGTTCGATCCCCAGCTGCTCCCCGGCCACTGGAGGAGGGTCCCACATGGCGTGCAGACCTCTCCTGCCGCCCACTGCTCCCCTCAGCAGTGTGCTTCCGTCCTTCTGTCTGCTCCCCGCTCTGGCTCTGGTGAATTCTCTCACCCTCCCACGCTTCTGACTGTACCCAGTGCTTGTATAAATAAATTAAATAAATAAAAATAAAAAATAAATCTTTAAAAAAAAAAATTAATTAGGCCTATATATCAGATAGTGGTTATCAGTTTTAATTTTCTCATTTGAAATAACTGTATGATGGTTATATAAGAAAGCATCTTTGATTTTAGAAAATATACACTGAAATATTTAGGGAAAAGTGGGCATTATGACTAAGTTATTCACAGTTCAGAAAATAAAATTATGAAAAATATTATAGAAGGGGAGAGTGAGTGAGAAAGATAAAGCAAACATAGTAAAATGTTAACTAAGAAATTAGATTAATATAAGAAATCAAATACTCTTTGAAGCTTTCTATTCTGAAAGTTTCACACAGAAAAGTTAAAAGAAAATTTAAAAACAGCTTACAGCTCTGTATTGCCTTGGATAGTAATAAGTGGTTTCTGGATATTTTCACACTTTTCCTCCAAAGCACAGAATCTCTCTGTCCAAAGATTAATTAACTGGCAAAGTTCCTGGAAGGAAGGTATGGGAGAAGAGATTAAAATTATGGTATTTGAACTTTTTTCTAAATTGACATTTTCCCAAGTGAGGATCATTTTATTCTCATTGTAGTCCTAAAGGTATGGTTATCCAACTTCATCTTTCATGTTGGTTTGAGGAAACAATCGTATTATCTTACTGTACTTTAGTATAGGAATCTATATGTGGCAATGTTTCAAATGTTAACTAATCTAGAAAAGCATTCTCAATTTTTTTACATATTTACAGCTATAACCAATAGTGGTTATGGTACTTTGAGGATTCTCAGTTATATAGCATTGAGATTGTATAACAAGGATAATCAAGTTAAAGATTACAAAAGTTTCTTTTTACAATATCCAAATCAGCTAAATAAAATACCTGTGAATGGATTTTCTTTATTGTCTTCAGGTGTTCAGTTAAGTTTTCACACTGCTCCTGTGATTCAGTCAAGGAAGAAATTGTATTTTCTTGTAGTTCATGTAGATTATTACACAATGTACTGAGAAAGCCATCCATTTCCTTTTTCTGATCTTCTATCTTTGAAGAAAAAAGATTGGTCTCATCTTAATGAAATTAAAAGAAATTTTAATATACAAAACAGAAAAGGTAGAAAATAGTATGCAGAGTAAAGTCCCTTTCCTGCTCCAATTCCAAGAACCCAAGCACCAACCCCATTCTTAGAGAAGACTGCTACCATTTTTAATACTTCCAAAGATATTTTATGCAATTTAAGCAAGCATGTAGACATCTACATACATATCTTTCTCCACCATCTGACAGCATGACAGTCAGTGTAAGCTACCATGTGTATTTAATATTTATCTTGATGTTCATCTCTCATTTTTCTTGGTCATGACTCTACTGACCACATCAATTATAGAGAGCACCATAACCCCTCCCTCTTCTAGATTTTTTTTTCATAACCCTTGGGTTGTGCATATAGATGTATCTCCAGGTGTGGCCACTGATAGACCTTCTTTCTTAAAAAATTTGATTTTCAGATATTAAGAACATTTGTTACCTTATCAGTCACTGTCAATGAAGTCTTAAAGATATGCTTTAGTTGATTATTGATTTTCAGTATAGACACCACCGCGGGAGATAAAATTGTTTCCAGTGAACTTAGAAGTTCTGTCTTGAGTTCATTCTGGTTTAAAAAAAGAAAGTCTTAAAGAATATTTTCACTTCCATAAACATGGTTGGTTAAATATCCTAAATAACCAAACACATATTAAAGTTAAGTGCACATTTTCTTTAAGTGCACATTTTCTTTAGTTTATAGAGCCAATTTGATAATAGGGTTTATATTCAGCATAACTCATTTATCCCACCATTAATAACTAAGAAAATGGTCAGTTAGTATATAATAGATTCATAATAGTCCAATGAAACAAAAGTTAGAAAAATTCAGAAGAGGGGAAAATAATATACAATTGATAAGGCTTCAGCATTACAACCCTACATTTTAATAAAACAAATTTCAAGTTTAGGTTACTAGTCAAGAAGGCTGAGGAGACCAAACAGCCTACAAAGACAGGCTTTGGCCTAAAGGTTTTCACTTTGAGGACTTGACAACATATAATCTATTGTATACCTTGAAGACTTGTCAGATTCTTGTTCTTGCCAACATACATTTAAAGTTGAGAATGTGGGCCTCCCTGGTGGTGTAGGGGCTAAAGTCTCAGTGCTATCAAGCTATTTCCAGCTACTGCAGCATGAGTTTGATCCCCGGCCAGGGAGTTAACCCATATGGTGTAGCAGACCTCTTCCATCTTGCCCGCTGCTCCCCTCAGCAGTGTATCTCAGTAGATATGCCTGTTCTGCTCTCCAATCTGTCTCTGGTGAATCCTCTCACACACAATCCCCCAATCCTGTACCTCTGGCCTATACCCCAGCTCTTATATGCATAAATAAATAAAAATAAATCTTTTTAAAAAGTTGTTAAGAATGCAGTATAGGTTAGGAACTATTATAGAAGCTGGGGGTGAGGGGGGGAGGATCTGACCTATGCGCCTTGCACTGAGGCACTGGTTATTCCACTTAAGTTCCAGAAGGGCTTGGCCACACAAATCTGATCCCACAAATTATTATGTAGTCCTAGAATTCTGTAACTACTTAATTACATAATTTTTCTTGCACACTTTATGTATTACTGTAGTTTCAAAATTAACCACCAAATATAACCACCTAATATCCTCTTCTAGTTGGGTCAGGACCCTTGGGTGATTTCACGACCCTCCACGTCATGGGTCCCTTGAATTCACCTTGAGTTAAACCTAACTTTCCAGTTATCTTAAGATTTAATAGCTGCTACTTTAAATGTCATAAATATAAATGGAAAAAGTCTCAAAGGTAACACGCATTTGGAAATTAATCTCCTCGATAAATAAAATAGTGCAGAGATTTCCCTTTAAAAATAGAAATGTACTCTCTTAAAGTGCTGTTTATCACTGTGTCTAATAAAGCTCAAGATGAAAGAAAAGCAGTTAGTTGTTTTTGAAGATTTATCAAACGTTCCCCTTCAAAAATACTTTAAAAGATTTACTAACAATTAATGTCTGAAGTATAGTTTTACTCTCTGCTGCCAACGATTGTTCTTTCAATATCGTATTAGAAAGCTGAGAAACATGTGTAGACACATTTTCTGGAATAGATGTGAAAGATCCAAGTGCAGTCGTAGTAATGGTGTCTAATGCAGAGACACTGGATGATAGAAGGTTACCTACACACACAAAAAGGTAAATTTTAACATAAATATATATATTTTTTTAATAATAAATTTTATTTTTATATTCCCCATACAATTGCAACCCCCCCATTCTGACCCCAATCCCTCCCCTCCGGCACCCCACCCCCCAAAAAGTGTCTCTGGTTCATAGTTTTTTGTTGATTTTGATTTTCACTTTCTTATAGTTATTCATTTTCCTGGTCCCTTATTTAAGTTTTCTAGATTCCTGCTATGAGTGAGACCATCCGGTATTTTTCTTTTTCTTTTTGGCTTATTTCGCTGAGCATGATCCCTTCCAGTGCCATCCATGTTGCTGCAAATTGCATGTGTTTATCTTTTTTGAATGCTGAGTAATATTCCATGGTATAGATGTACCACATCTTCTTGATCCATTCATCTATTTTTGGGCATTTGGGTTGTTTCCAAAGCTTAGCTATTGTAAACAGTGCTGCTATAAACATAGGGGTGCAGGTGCTCTTTGGAATTGATGTTTCTGTGTCCTTTGGGTAAATACCTAGGAGTGGAATTGCTGGATCATATGGAAGCTCTATGTTTAGTAGGTCAAGAAATCTCCACACAGCTCTCCATAGTGGTTGGACCAGTTTGCACTCCCACCAACAGTGCAGGAGAGTTCCTTTTTCTCCACACCCTCGCCAACATTTGTTGTTGCTAGTTTTTTTAATATGTGCCATTCTCACTGGTGTAAGATGGTATCTCATGGTAGTTTTGATTTGCATTTCCCTGATTACAAGTGATGTTGAACATAAATATATTTAAATGCACCTAGAAAAACCAAGAGGCTGGCAAAATAATATCTTTGTAGAAATTTTAGTAATAAGCAAGATTAAAATAAATTGGCTCCCTACATTTTATATACACACACACACACACACACACACACACACACACACACACACACACACATGTTCTATAATATTCTGTAAATACTTGACATTTGTGGGTATTTATAACTGACAACTATAATCCCTAGTAAAAAAAAAATTAGAATATTCTAACGTTAATCTTTAATAAGTAAAAGGAATACAAAGTATTACAGTGGGTAAAAGAGGTCACAAAATTGATAAAATTTATAGTTGACTTAGAGTGACTAGAATCTGGGTGATTTTTAAATTATTTTTACATTTCTACATTTCTAAATTTTCCATAAGGGTAAAACTTTCATAATGGAATATCTAATAATCTAATAAAATATCATAGTATCTTTTTTCTAAATGAAAAAAATGGCTATAGTTAAAAATGATACATTTATTCAGAGAATATGGAAACCATTCAAAATACATATTCTCAAAAAAAATTGCAGAAAGATATGCACAAAAAATTTCTAGAGAAAAAAAATCTAAAAATTTAATAGTAGTAGTATCTATTAAAAATGAGGCAGAGTCAGGGATGTAGCAGATTTTTACTTCTAAAGCCTACACACTTATTGCTTATTGAATATAAGCTCCTTTACTTCTTTTAATTCAAAGGCAGTTCTAGTTGGAACAGACAGTATGGGCATGGGAGGGTAACTAGTGACAATGTCACCTAAGGTCGTTAAGATAGGCATCACACTCCCAGACTTCAAACCATACTACAAAGCCATAATCATCAAAACTGCATAGCATTGGAACAAGAACAGACACACAGACCAATGGAATCGAATAGAAAATCCAGAAATAAACCCACAGATTTATGGTCAACTAATCTTTGACAAAGGAGCAAAGAATACGCATTGGAGCACAGAAAGTTTGTTCAATAAATGGTGCTGGGAAAACTGGGTCGCTACATGCAAAAGAATGAAGCTTGACTACCACCTCACACCATACACAAAAACCAACTCAAAATGGATTAAAGAACTAGACATAAGACCTGAAACCATAAAATACATAGAAGTAAATATAGGCGAAACACTACATGATATGCACATCAAAGATATCTTTACAGACACATCACCCAAAGCAGTGATAGTGAAGGCAAAGAGCAACAGCTGGGACTACATCAAATTAAAGAGCTTCTGCACAGCAAAAGAGACAATAACAAAAACAAAGAGAAACCCCACCGACTAGGAGAAAATTTTTGCACCCAACACTAATGATAAAGGACTGATCACAAAAATCTACAAAGAGCTGATTAGACTCAACAAAAACAAAGAAAATAATCCAGTCAAAAAATGGGCAGAAGAGCTAAAAAGAAACTTCTCCAAAGAAGAACTACAAATGGCCACCAGGCATATGAAAAAATGTTCAATGTCACTTACAATCAGGGAAATGCAAATCAAAACTACCATGAGATACCATCTTACACCAGTGAGAATGGGACATTTTAAAAAAACTAGCAACAACAAATGTTGGCGAGGGTGTGGAGAAAAAGGAACTCTCCTGCACTGTTGGTGGGAGTGCAAACTGGTCCAACCACTATGGAGAGCTGTGTGGAGATTCCTCAACCTACTAAAGATAGAGCTTCCATATGATCCAGCAATTCCACTCCTAGGTATTTATCCAAAGGACACAGAAACATCAGTTCCAAAGAGCACTTGCACCCCTATGTTTATAGCAGCACTGTTTACAATAGCTAAGCTTTGGAAACAACACAAATGCCCAAAAATAGATGACTGGATCAAGATGTGGTACATATACACCATGGAATACTACTCAGCATTCAAAAAAGATAAACACATGCAATTTGCAGCAACATGGATGGCGCTGGAAGGGATCATGCTCAGCGAAATAAGCCAAAAAGAAAAAGAAAAATACCGGATGGTCTCACTCATAGCAGGAATCTAGAAAACTTAAATAAGGGACCAGGAAAATGAATAACTGTAAGAAAGTGAAAATCAAAAACAACAAAAAACTACGAACCAGAGACACTCTATGAGGGGTGGGGGGCGGGGAGGGGAGGGATTGGGGTTAAAATAAGAGGGTTGCAATTGTATGGGGAATATAAAAATAAAATTTATAAAAAAAAAACCCGATATTAAAATCAGGGCCTCCCCTGGTGGCACAGCGGTTGAGCGCTGGGCTGTGAGGCACAGCCTCTGCAGTGCCGGTTTGTTCCCAGGCCACCGACGAGGGTCCCACAAAAAACAAACAAAAAACAAAAAAAACAACATATTAAATCATCGGTTTTGAAATTAGTTTCACATTAAACATACAATGCCTATAATAATTAGTAATGCTTGAACTTACCATACAAGGTCTTGTGAACATCTAGCATTGCCTTTTGCTTTGAAGTGCCATCCTTAATTAATTCTTCCATACTACTGAATAGACTATTCAGGTTTTTGCCAAAAACATCCTGCGCTTCTGCATTGTGCTGTTCAACTGCCTTCTTACGATCCAGTTTGGAATGGAGACCAGATACATCTTTTGTAGTTTCTTCAACTGTGTTAAGCAACTAAAAAAAAGGTTGATAAATGGATATGACAAGAGTATTCTAAAAAAAATCTGTGCTACATAATGCTTTCTTCTGAATAGAGGTTTTAGTCATTGTAATCTGAAGAAATTTTTAAACTCATGTTAATTTATTCGGTTACCCAGGAATGTTTTAATCCCATAGCCATCTGGGCAAGGAATAACCACCGCATCCCTACTCATCTAGGCAAGAAAAACTGATTTTTTGAAACATGTTACTATAATTATTCTCCCTCATAATTTTTTCCCATTATATTTCCTCAAAAGTAAACTGAATAAAACATTAAACACTCGCAATATCTTCCATCATTAGATGTTGCAAAATTCTTGATGACTGATTAATTACAATCACCATGGGGGGAAAAAGCGGTTACAACATCATTACTCTAAATGTCTATGAAGTATATTAAAATCATGTTCTATTTTCAAAAGTTCTTGTCATAAGCTTTGAATATAAGTGAAATAGTGTTGTCATAAGTCAGCTTCTCCAGTGAGGAGAATTTAAATGAACTAGTAAAATAACATTTTCAAATTGACAGAAATATCATTTGGGATGAATAAACAGAATTTCAAAATTAATGCTTAAGCAAAGAAAGTTACTTCTACTCATTCTCTAATTTCCTTAATGCAAGTACAAATTAAAATAAAGGACAAACCCTGCTGGCAGCATCATGAAGTTTCTCCTCAGTGCTTTCCAAAGCTGAGGTGATATATTCTTCCTTAACAAGTTCTAATTTGGTTTCCTGTAAATGCTTCTGAGTAGTTTCAAGTTCCTGTGTTTTACTTTGCAGGTCAGATTTACACTGGTCAAGTTCACTTTTATTATCCATAAATAATTCTGTAACCTAAATATAAAACATTAAACATTTTTTTTTTATTTAAAAAAAGTTAAACTGGTTGGTAAAACACCTGGCCAGTTCATATCATCATCTTATAAACCAAATGAATTATTTTCAAGAAAAAGTTGTAACAAGCTCTCAGGTAGATTAACACATTTTCTATGGTGTCTGGTTTCTTTCTGTAAATTCATTAAAAACAAATAACTGGACTAGTACAATGGGATTAAGTATTCAGGTTCCTTCCAACACTGCCAATCTAAGCATGACAGAAAAGGGTCAGGTCTTTCCACCTTTGTTGTTTAACGTCTGGTTTAACCCAATACCTGCATTTCCTCATCTGATAAACACATTAATGAAAATTTTTCAGCATTTCACCATTTAGACTTACAATAAATACAATTCAGTTAATTTCTTATAAGGTAGCATTAATATACATATCACAACAGTTTCTTCTTTATCACTGATGATGGTAAAATTATCAATAACATACACTTAACTTTAGTATATGGGTCAGCAAGAAAATATATCAGGTCTCTCACATTCTGAAATGTCAGTAATTGCTTTTCATATGACATTCAATATTGTTTTGAATGCTTACTCTATTGAGCTCCTCTTCAACGGCACCAATTTTTTCAATCAATTCTACAATCTGTTCTTCTTGAACAGTTAGTTTTCCACTCATGGCTCTAAAATACAGATTAATATGAGTTTCAGTTAATATTTTTTCTCAATTCTATTAAAGTTTATTCTAACACAATTGTGGCAGTTACACATCATCTTTACCATTTGTCATAATATTGATGCCTAAGTGTCAATAACCAATAAATACATATTGTAAAATACAAATGTATCCCTTGTCCTTATTTCATAAATGGAATATTTTTCTTGTGACTTCTATTTTAAAATTGAGAATCCCTGGCTATGAGAGGGGAAAAAGCATCTATGTGTGTATAATCTGAGAAGCTACAATGGTGACAGAGAACTGTAACGCACATGAAATAGAGGTGAAGGGTCTCCCTGGTGGCGCAAGGGGTTAAGCACCGCACTATCAAGCAATCCGCAGCCTCTGAACTTCAGCAGCACGAGTACGATCCCCGGTCGGCCAGGGAGAAACCCACACGGTGAGGCAGATCTCTTCCTGTCTTGACCCCTGCTCCCCTCAGCGTGTATTTCAGTCAGTCTGCCTGTTCTGTTCCCCACTTTGTCTCTGGTGGATCCTCTCATCCCCCACATCGCTGGCCTGTGCCCCAGCTCTTGTATGCATAAATAAATCAATCTTAAAAAAAAAAAACGAACTAGAAGTGAAGGGATAGAATCTAAGTGTAATCAGGTATACCAACGGCCCATATAATCTAGGAAAAGCTTGGGACTTGAAGGTATCAGATGTCATAAGTGAGAAAGCGATTAAGAACTGTAGCACTGGGGCCTCCCTGGTGGCACAATGGGTTAAATCTCAGCACTATGAACCTATCGGCAGCCACTGCAGCATTAGGTCAAGTTCAATGCCCAGCCAGGGAGATAACACATGGTGCAGCAGACCTCGCCTATCTCGCTTGCTGCTCCCCTCAGCAATGTATTTCAGTCAATCTGCCTGTTCTTTTTTTTTTTTTTTTTTTTTTTTTTAAATAGAGGCATGTTTTATTTATTTATTTATTTGTTTGTTTTGTTTATACATGCACTGGGTACAGTCAGAAGCGCGGGAGGGTGAGAGAATTCACCAGAGCCAGAGCGGGGAGCACAGCAGGCAGAAGGACCGAAGTACACTGCTGAGGGGAGCAGCGGGCGGCAGGAGAGGTCTGCGCGCCATGTGGGACCCTCCTCTGGTGGCTGGGGAGCAGCCGGGGATCGAACCGGCGCCGCCGAGGCTGCGGGCAGCTTCACAACCCAGCGCTCAACCGCTGCGCCACCGGGGAGGCCCCAATCTGCCTGTTCTGCTCCCCACTCTGTCTCTGGTGAATCCTCTTACCTCCCCATACCTCTGACCTACCCCCCCAGCTCTTGTAAGCATAAATAAAAAATCTAAAAATAAACTGTTTAATAACATCAAAAAAAAATCTAACATCAAAACAAAAATATTCATAGGATACAGCAGATATAAAGATTTTACCTACTGTCACATAAGTAAATTGTACTTCTTACAGACTATTAGCAGAAAATATTTAGTCTAGGAATTTAATTTCCATTGCCAAGGGCTTACCTAAAATTTTCTTCTGAAATGTATACCCCATTTTTTTCACGGGTTGCAGCAAGATCTCGCTTCAGACGTTCTATCTCTTCTGTATATTCCTAGACAAGAAGATTTAGATACCAATTTAGAAATTAACTTTTTATTTATTTAGTTTGGGGAGGATGTGTCACAAATAAAACAAAGTTAAACTTTTTACACTTTGTAATGTATAAACATGATAAAAAATCATAACCAAGATGTGTAACCCTGTACCTCTAAAACAGAATATGTTGTCATCAATGCTACCTCAGTAAACAAACAAAAAATGTCATAACTATACTTTTTATTCACTATTAACCTGTTTAGGATAAAGTCTTTCTATGGCTTTGAAAATGCCTTTAAATGTACTCATAAAGAGCCTTCCCTGGTGGCTCAGTGGTTGAGCACTGGGCTGTGAGGCTGCCCACAGCCTCTGCAGCGCAGATTCGATCCCCGGCCACCAGGCAAGGGTCCCACATGGCGCGCGGACCTCTCCTGATGTGCCCACTGCTCCCCTCAGCAGTGTATTTCGTCAGTCTGCCTGTTCTGTTCCCTGCTCTGGCTCTGGTGAATTCTCTCACCCTCCCAGGCTTCTGACTGTACCCAGTGCTTGTATAAATAAATAAATTAATAAAAAAAAAAAAAAACTTGCCCGTTTTAAAAAAAAATTAAAAAAAAAAAATAAATGAACATAAAAACATAGGCTGCTGAAGAAAGTATCCATGTTGGTCTCCAAATAGCATTTTACACTAAAAGGAAACAAGATTCCTTAGAGAAATGCCTGATCTCAGACTGGGGAGCAAGAAACATTCAACATGAACCTGAAACATTTTGTCACATAAAACAAGAAAGAAGCTAAATTAAAATTACAGCCACTTTGGAAAAGTTTTTAAATTTACTTTACAACCCAGGAATTACACTGCTAGGTATCTACCCAAGAAAAATGAAAATGCATGGACACAAAAACTTGTACTCTAATGTTCACAGCCACATTACTGGCAAAAATTCAAATGTCCATCTGTGAATGGATACACAAAAAGTTTTATTATCAGTTAATAGATTATTTGGCAAAAAGAAAAACAAGAAACAATTTATTAATAAATGTTACAACATAAATGGTCTCTGTTTGCCAAGGAAAAGAAGCAAGATGCAATACACTATTGTATAATTCCATTTATAGGAAATGTACAGAAAAGGCAAATCTATAGACAGAAAGCAAATGGGGATTGTCTGATTGCAAAGGACAAAAGGAAACTTTATAGAATGATATAAATTTCCTAGAAATTGATTGCGACGTTGCACAACCCCAGAAATGTTCTAAAAATCATTGAATTATAAGACTTATAGTGGATGAATGTCATAGTATGTAAATTATATCCTAAAGCTCTAAAAAATTTTGTAAATAAGTACAAATTTTGCTGACTCTCTAGAACTGGTAAAGTCAACATATAACACACAAAAAACTTTTAACATATGATGTAATTTAAATCATTAAGAAAAAAAGCCTTACCACTGGCAATTTAAAAAGTATTTAACAGTTTTCTACTTTACTTCCTTATTTTCACATTTGTCAAACAAGATTGTATTACTCAATAAAAAACTCACAACTACCTTAATAAGAGCTTTTTTGGTGAGCTTCTGATTAACTTCAGGCTTATTCATTATGTTCTTTGCTCTATGAGCATACTCCAATGTGCTCAGAGTTTCCTGTGAAGAAATTTTGATAATAGTTATATTCTTTCATCATCATCATTATTATTGAAGTAATACTGGTTTACATCACTGTCTTAGGTTAACACTTCCCAAAATATATGGTATCACACCATGCCCATCACTGAAGTACCAATAGTCCCCCACCACAAGCCACTGGGCTCCCTGTACCCTCCGCTCCCCACACTCCAGTAACCTCAGTTCTGTAGTCCAAATCTAAGGTTTGTTTTGTCTGCTTCTTTGCTTTGTCTTTTTTTCTTTTTTTAAATAGTATAACAGCAAACTTACAGAAATAGCACAGAAGATGGACAATATAAACATGTACCTACATTTAACACAACTCAGGAAAATACGGTGAATGGCTGGAATCTACTGTATGGTACAAATGCCACAAATACCTTTTACTTGCCATCAATAAGAAATCTATTTGTTTTAAAAATATCCAAATGTTGGTATTGTCCAGAAATATTTAACAGGTTTATTTAAAATTGTTATAAAGTTGAATCACTGACACTTGTTCACTGAAACATGGACATTTATACTGAAAATCCACACAAAGATGAAGATGGAAAAACTGCCAATACCGGATTTCTGCCCCTTATTTTTCCACTTACAATAATATACTCAGGTCCTTTTGATCCCATGGATAAAAAAAATCTAACATGGCCTCTTTGGTGGCGCAAGGGGTTAAGTCTCAGCACTAGGAAGCTATCTGAAGCCACTGTAGCAAAAGTTCAAGCCCCAGCCAGGGAGATAACCCACATGGTGCCTTCTGCTCCCATCAGCAGTGTATTTCAGCCAATCTGCCGGCTCTGCTTCCCACTCTGTCTCTAGTGAATCCTCTTGCCTCCCTTCCCCCCACCTCCGGCCTATACCACAGTTCTTAGATGCATAAATAAAATAAATCTTAAAAAAAAAAAAAAAAATCAAACATTCAGAACTACCAATAACAGAAAGAGAAATTTCTTGTTTTGAAAACAAAATGTTTCCCATCATTGTGGATTCTTATTAATGTTCTCCACACATGCAGCATGCAAGCCGGGTATTTTTGGGCATAACTGTGACATGTTTGGCATGGATACCATAGTTTGGCGTCAACAAAAAGGTGAACCAGATAGGCTTCATTTGGTTCTTGTGAAGCACCAAATTTGGAATAAGTTCAGCAGACTTCTTATTCTTTGGAATAAGTTGTTTGGAATAAGTTCAGCAGACTTCTGTTAAGATCTAATTTCATGGGCCTCCCCTGTGGCGCAGCAGTTGAGCGCTGGGTTGTGAAGCTGCCTGCGGCCTCTGCAGTGCCGGTTCGATCCCCGGCTGCTCCCGGCCACCGGAGGCGGGTCCCGCATGGCGCGCGGGCCTCTCCTGCCGCCCGCTGCTCCCCTCAGCAGTGTGCTTTGGTCCTTCTGCCTGTTCTGCTCCCCGCTCTGGCTCTGGTGAATTCTCTCACCCTCCTGTGCTTCTGACTGTACCCAGTGCTTGTATAAATAAATAAATTCTTTAAAAAAAAAAAAAAAGATCTAATTTCATGGAGTGACACAGTATCGTGGCTGTAATGATGTGGTTTCTTCACCCCTTCTTCACCCCATGTACTCTTACATGTGGCTTTTTGTAAGAGCCATGGTTTAGAGCCCTCCCTACTTAACCTGCTTCTCCTTCAGTTGAAATTTAGGTACCTAGAGACACCCTGGCATTAAGAGTAATGACAGTTGTGAACATTGCTTTGTTTCTTTATAATCCGCGTGAGTAAAATCATTCAATATGTGTCTTCTGATTTATTTCATGTAGAATAACTCCCTCCATGTTGTCACAAATGGCAATATTTCATCTTTTTTCATAGCTGAATAGTATTCGCCCTCTCTCTCTCTCTCTATATATATATATATATACATACACATATATAGGCATACCTATATAGTCTATGTATCTATATATCTCACATCTCCTTTAAACATCCGTAGATGGGCACATAGGCTGTTTCTATATCTTGGCTATTGTAAGTAGTGCAGCAATAAAGAAAGGGATGTATAAATCTTTTCAAAGTAATGTTTTCATATTCTTCAAATTATGTTTTCATATTCAATAATTCCGTCTAGAAACGGAAGTACCATATGGTACTGATACTTAAGTACCAATAGTCCCCCACTAGAAGCCAAATATCATATGGTTGATGTATTTTTAGTTTCCGAGGAACTTCCATACCATTTCCATAGGGACTGTACCAATTTACATTCCTACCAACAGTATATGAAGGTTCCTTTTTCTCCACAACCTCACCAACACTTGTTTCTGGTCTTATTGCTATAGGCCATTCTCAGAAGAGTGAGGTGCTATCTCACTGTGCTTCTGATTTGTGTTTCTTTAACATTAAGTGAAAATGAGATTTTTTTTTCCTGTATCTATAGTTTATTTGTATATCCTTTTCGGAAAATGGTCTGTTCATATCTTTAGATCATTTTTTGATTTGGTTATTTGGGGTTTTACTGGAGTTTCTTTTGCTGTGCTGACACTTTTTAGTTTGATGTATTATCATTTATTTATTTTTTTTTTTTAAATAGAGGCATGTTTTTTTATTTATTTATTTATTTATTTATTTGTTTGTTTGTTTTGTTTATACATGCACTGGGTACAGTCAGAAGCGCGTGAGGGTGAGAGAATTCACCAGAGCCAGAGCGGGGAGCAGAGCAGGCAGAAGGACCGAAGTACACTGCTGAGGGGAGCAGCGGGCGGCAGGAGAGGTCTGCGCGCCATGCGGGACCCTCCTCTGGTGGCCGGGGAGCAGCCGGGGATCGAACCAGCGCTGCAGAGGCCGCGGGCAGCTTCGCAACCCAGCGCTCAACCGCTTCGCCACCGGGGAGGCCCTTATCATTTATTTTTCTTCCCCCCCCGCCCCCTTGTTGTTGGAGTACCCAAAAGTATCTCCAAGGTATGTAAAGTCTAAGTGTTCTTGTATGCATTTTATGGTTTCAGGTCTTACATCCAAGTCTTTAATACACTTTGACTTAGTTTTAGTGTATGGTTTGAGATAATGGTCTAGGCTTCATTTCGTTGCATGTGGCTGTCCAATTTCCCAACACTACTGAAGAAACTTCCTTTTCTCCAATGTTTGTTTTGGTTTCTTTGTCTTAAATTAACTGTCCATATGTATGAGTTTATTTCTGGGCTCTCAATTCTTTTCCATTGATCTATGCATGTTTTTATTTCAATATCATATTGTTTTGATTACTATCATTTTGTAGTATAGTTTGAATTTGAGGAGTAAATTTCTCTCTCTTTTTTTTTAACTCAAGATTGCTTTGGCTATTCAGGATCTTTTGTAGTTCCACACAAATTTTAGTAATGTTTTTCTATTTTCTTTCTTTCTTTTTTTTTAATATTTAAAGGGCAGTTTTATTAAGGAAAGGGGACAGGAAAGTAAAGGAGACACAAGCAGGCAGGAAGAGCTGCCCCAGAAGGGACAGGTTTGCTAAGAGAGGTCTGCATGGCTGCAGGAAAGCAGACTCCGCTGAGGGAGGTCAGTGAGGAGAAGCCCTAGCAGGTACAGGTCACAGGCAGGCAGGGAGGCTGCTGCCCTACAGAGGGAGAGGGTTGGTGAAAAGCACCTGCTCAGGCACAGATGGGCAGGCAGAGTGCTGCCTATTTTCTTGAAAGTCATTGCAATTTTGATAGGGATTATTTGAATCTGTATATTTCTCAGCTAAGAAGATCATTTTAACAGTTAATTCTTCTAATCCATGAACAAAGAATACCTATTTCTCTATTTCTTCTTTTCTTTTGTCAATGTCTTATAGTTTTCACTGTACAACTTAGTTACATTATTTAAAATGTACTATAATTTCATCTACCACGAGACTACTTCATTCAACCTCTTTACAGTGGTACCCTATGTCCATATACAACGTCTGAATTCTTTTTACTATAGTATAGAATTACAAATAATTAATAAACTTTTTAAATAAATGACAGCTAAATAACAACTATAATTACTATACTTGCAGATACCTTTTGAAAGGTTTACCTCAAGATTGAGAGATGCAGGAGAAATTGTTGCAATTATAGATGTTCTGGTACGTCCTCCAAGAGAATCCTGGAGAATTCTAGTTAGTTTAGATTCTCGATAAGGAACATGAGGTGTTCTTTCTACAAGTGCAGTAATAACCCTCCCCAAAGTCAACAGGGATTGATTGATATTTCCAGCTTCCCGAGCTCTCTTGTCAACTGCTCCAGAACGACCAATGTTTTCACTTCCTGCAAGATCAACCTTGAATTTTAAAAATAAAAATAAGTTGTCAGTCTACCAGATTTATACTTGAAGACTTTCATTCTCATATTACACTTATTAAATGATCAGTAAAATAGTTTTACATAATTAACAACACACTACAAAGCTAATAGTGACTATAAAATATTATCTAAAAGCACAAAATTTCAAACTATACTATGAGATGATCAAGAATAACAAACTGGAACACAACTCCTATGATATAGCAATTCTACTACTATGTATATGTATCTGAAGAAAATGAAATCAGTATCTCAAAGAGATTATCTATACTCCCAAGTTCATTGCATTATTCACAATAGCCAAGATACAGAAACTAAATGTCTGTTGATGGATAAATGGATAAAGAAAATGTTATACACACACACAAAATATTTTCAGCCATGAGAAATAGGAAAGTTTTATGATTTGCAACAAGAATGAATGAAGAAAGTGAAATAAACCAGAGAAAGACAAATACTGTACAATCTCACTTATATATATAAAATCTGAGAGGAGTGAGGGGATTCACAGAAACAAATATAGAACGATGGTTGGAGAGGGGCTGAGGTGAAGGCGATGTCAGGATGCTGGTCAAAGGGTACAAGTCTTCAGTTATGAGATGAATAAGTTCTGAGGATCTAATGTATAGTATGAACACTATAGCTAATAATACTATAGTGAAATTTGGGAAGACTAGATTTTAAATGTTCTCATTCAAAAGCAGGTACTATGTGAGGTGATGGATGTGTTAATTAATCTGACTGGGGTGATCATTTCACAAACTGTACGTATATCAAATCAGTATGGTGTGCACTTTAAATATGTAATTTTATTTATCGATTATACCTCCATAAAGCTAGAAGGAGAAAAAAATGAAACTGATACTAAGGTAAATGCTTACCAAGTTCAACTTTCCAATTTTAACAAGCTCCTCTCCGTCGATTGTAGTTTCTTTCATATGTATTGTAACAGAGAAAACTGAGTGGGAACGACTAGAAAACAAGATCAAGTTGCCTAGTCATTAAAATGTAAAACATTATATAAGCTTTCTGTAACAAAATATTAAAAACAGCAAAGATCTAAATCCAAAAGGACAGAGATAGTATCAAAAGGGAGCTATCAGTAAGATTTTAGAAGATAGGCAGTGGGTAGAGTGACGTTTAGGTTTTTGACTTTTTGTACCTGCTTCCAGCAGAGGTGGCCCTGAATAGAAGCTATCTGAAATATGTTTACAGGGTTAGGAACCAGAATCCTCAGGCACCTCTAAAACCTAAATGTGGGGTGGGATGAGGTTAGGACAGTTGAGTGGTATGTTAGAGAGGAAGGCTTTTGACCAATCTTCCTATTCATAAGAACCACTTGAAATATGTCATTGCCCTAAATTCAAACAGCAAAAAGCAAGTCATCAGTTACTTTCCCTCAATGTCACCTGGTATAAAACTATATTGCCCTGCTTTGACAATATCATCAGAAATAGGTTATTACTCCCCCTCCAACAGCAGAAATAGTAAATAACAGTGACAACTAAAACACTACAAGATAATCTTGGCTACACTACAGTGTACTAAAGTCTATCCTATGCTATATACTGACATTCAGCTTTTTTCTGAGGGAAACAAAAATTATATGGATAACCAAAGACATCTCCCTTTTCTGGACAAATGACATCTGATAAACATCATTATGTTTGTTAGTGCCATGGATGGTGACTAGAGTAATTATTAATTTTCTTATTTGTATTTTCCAAGTTGTTTGAAAATTTTTCAAGTATCATCTTTATAAAGATTATTTAAACTACTTTAGGGTCTCCCTGGTGGCGCAGGGGTTAAAGACAGCGTTATCAAGCTACTGCCACCCTCTACAGCACGAGTTCAATCCCTGACCTGCCAGGGAGCAACCCACATGGCACAGCAGACCTCTCCTGCCCCTCCCGCTGCTCCCCTCCGCAATGTATTTCAGTCATCTGCCTGTTCTGCTCCCCACTCTGTCTCTGGTGAATCCTCTCACCCCTTGTACTTTTGGCTTACACCCCAGTTCTTGCATAAAATAAATCTTAAAAAAAAATAAGCTATTTTAAATTACATAAAAGGGGAAGAGCAGAAGGAAAACTATAAACTATAGTTCTAAATTATAATATTCATCTCATGTTTTTCTACCATCATTTACCATTTCCAATCTAGGATTCTGGAATAAATGCAATAATATAGAAGTCAACTCGGATATTGAAAAACTGAATTATATTTTCTTTCTTTTTATTACATAAAACTATAAAAAGAGAGCTTTACTCCAATCTACTGTCATTTGCAACAACTTGAATGAACCTATAGGACATTATTGTAAGAAAGTTAAATCAGACAGAGAAAGATAAGTACTGTATAATCTCATTTATATATAGAATCTGGGGGCGGGAGGGAATCAAACTCATAAAAATAGAGACTAGAATGATTTTATATTTCAGAGAAAGATATTTAAAGAAATTTTACTAATCTTAAATTCATCCTTCTCAATTCCATATAAAATTAAGTTACAAATGAATAAATATTTCCATCTTATTTCTGATTGGCTTACATCAATTTTTAAAAATGGAAAACTATTATAGCAAAAACTTCACTATAATTTTGAAATCATCCATAATTACACAATCTTATTTACTTCCATATTATTTTTCTTTTTTCTTTAAATATATGCATATTTTATACAGTTGCAATTACAATTGTTATAGCATATTATAGCAACTTCCAACTATAAAGGAACAAAGAAATAAGAAATGTACCCCATAATGATCATTTTGTAGACGGGGAAACTGACATTTAGATAAATTTACTACTTTATCTAACATCACAGTATCTAGCTAACTGCAGAACTAGAACTAAACACAAATATCTAACTTCCAACCCATAACTCTTTCTAATATGCTTTATGTTTCCTTCAAAGACCAGCAGAAAAAAGTGACCTCTGACTGGTAAACTGCATTTCTAAGATCCTGGATTCATCTGATAGGGGTACCATCAAATATGCCCATTTCTCCCCTTGAAAGTCAACGTTAGTGACTATTTCCCTAAATTCATTAATATTAAGCCATTCTTAAAAAAAAAATCATGTTGTACAACCTAAATATATATAACTTTTATCAATCATACCTCATTAAAACTGGGGGGGAGAGGGAGGAAAGAGAATGAAGTCACTTGACTTCTAAACCTAATTCAACCAGGGATTTGAAAAACTATTCTAAGTGCCCACAAGGGCGCCAGAAAAGTATTCAAGGAAAGAAGGAAGTGGAAGGAAATAAGCCTCTAAGCATCCTATCTCTAAACCAACTATAGCAGTCACATTTCAACCTGGGCTCCCATGTATTTCTCTTGGGGAAAAAAAATCTTCTGCTTAAAAAAAGCTTCTGTGCTAATTGAACTTGTTTTTATTTGTTTTTTAACATTCTTCTAATATTGGTGCTCTCCATATAAACCGAAATGGGGGCCTCTGTGGTGGTGCAAGGGGTTAAGCACAGCACTGTGAAGCAATTGGCAGCACGAGTTCAATCCCCCGCCGGGCAGGGAACAACCCACATGGCACAGCAGACCTCTCCTGTCTCGACCACTGCTCCCCTCAGCAGTGTATTTCAGTCAGTCTGCCTGTTCTGTTTCCCACTCTGTCTCTGGTGAACCCTCCCACTCACCCCACCCCCACCGCACCTATGGCCTGTACACCAGCTCTTGTATGCATAAACAAATCTTTACAAAAAAAAAAAATTAAAATAAACCACAATGACTAAGTCATGCAATCTTGCTTACCATCTAAGTAGATATGACCCACATCTTGACCCACTCCAATTTGACTTCCCCCAAGTTCATAATTCTTACAAAGAAAATGGGGTTGTGGCAGAGATTGTGGCTTTCTTACCTAGAGTATGCATTCATCAAAGTTGCTGCAGTTGTCCTCTTTGCTGCCCCCTTCTCTAAAATTTGATAGACTTCATCCTTGTTGTGTACTGTAATTTCTTCTAAACCTTTGATTATTACTCCCCTCTGACCAAATATCAAAAGAGCATCCATTAGATTGGTTTAAAAAAAAGTATACTGACACCTCAAATCATCACACATCATCATTCGGAAACATTTCATTCTCAAATCTGAATTACCTTGTTACGAGGATCATCAAACATCTGTAGTCTCTCAGAAACATCAGAAGATGGATTAAGGAGATCAAAAAGTTCTTCATTATAGATTTCCAACAGAGACACTTTGACTGAGAATTCAGTACCATTATCAGTAAGTTTCTCAAAAATTTGATGAAGTGTACGTGGAATTATACCAGCCAAGGGATCCTGAAATTATATTAGTAAGGACTAAAGCAAAGAAGAATGCCATTTACTGTGGCAGTTAAAATACACATAACAAGGGCCTCCTTTACCGTAATTTAAACATTATAATACATTCAAACATAAGTGTGACAAAACTAGTTTTAAAAAAGAAACTAGCGCCTCCCTGGTGGTGCAAGGAGTTAAGCACAGCACTGTAAAGCTATCCACAGGCTCTGCAGCATGGGTTCAATCCCCGGCTGGCCAGGGAGCTACCCACATGGTGCAGCAGACCTCTCCTGTCTTGCCCACTGCTCCCCTCAGTAGTGTATTTCGGTCAATATGCCTGTTCTGTTCCCCACTCTGTCTCTGGTGAATCACCCTCCCCTGACACACACACACCTCTGGCCTGTACCCCAGCTCTTGTATGCATAAATAAATAAATCTTAAAAAAAAAAAAAAAGAATAAAAATTTAAAAAGAAAGTAATTTAATGTTAGAGAAGTCAAGTCATTTACAACAGCCTATTCAACAATAATTATTCTTTTTCATACCTTCCACAATCTACCAGGTATTTCATGCCAGGCACTTCATGTCTAATATTACACAGAAATCAAATGAGGGGGGCCTCCCTGGTGGTGTAAGGGTTAAGTCTCAGCACTACATCATTATGGCCTGAGTTTGATCCCCAGCCAGGGAGCTAACCTACATATGGTGCAGAAGACTTCTGTCTCACCCGTTGCTCCTCTTAGCAGTGTATTTCAGTGAATCCACCTGTTCTGCTCCCCACTCTGTCTCTGATGAATCCTCTCACCCCATGCACCTCTGGCCTACACCCCAGTTCCATGCTAAATACATAAATAAAAATTAAAAAATAAAAGAAACCAATTGAACCAAGTTATTTATAAAGCCAATTTCAATAATCCTTTCCAATTTTCTTCATGAGAATACCACCATTTAAATCAGAACAGTAGCCCTTCTCATAGTATATTCCTTAATTCTGACATAAAACAGGACTGTTTTTAATATATTTAAGTATTCTTAATAAAACTGCTATGACTCTCCAAATTTTGAAACTACGCTAATAAGCGTATTCCATACCTCCTAACATTACAATTTTGTAAACTTATTTTTTTTTAAAGATTTATTTATTTATACATACAAGAGCTGGGGTACAGGCTAGAGGCATGGGGGTAAAAGGATTCACCAGAGACAGAGTGGGGAAGAGAACAGGCAGACTGACCAAGTACACTACTGAGGGGAGCAATGGGCAAGACAGGAGAGGTCTGCTGCGCCATGTGGGTTGCTCCCTGGCTAGCCAGGGATCAAACTTATGCTACAGAGGCTACAGATTGCTTCATAGTGCGGTGCTTAACCCCCTGAGCCACCAGGGAGGCCCCACAATTTTGTAACCTTACTATCCATGCTTGTAAAGTAAGCAAATGCCTCAACTACATATCCACTAGAAAAAACAATCTACATTCTCTTTATGTTAATAATTTGGAAAACTTAGTCTTAAAATCATTTAAACACATTTAGTGGAAATCTTTGTGAAATGTGCTTTCTATAATATTCAACAATAGTTACCTTAATTTCTTGAACACTCAAGGTCATCATTAATAAAGTACTATACCACCCCTGGCTAGGCTAAACTTATGAGATTCATTCACTCAATGCAAAGTCTTTTCTTCAGACCTTACTCATACTGCACATGTGCACAATATTCTGCTCTAAATATTCAGTCCCAAATAGATTCCTCTTTATAACTTAACTGTACCATGTGTATTGGTCCTCTATTTTCCGATGTTTTTTAAATAGGGACCATACCATATACTTCAATTTTACTATAAAAGTAGTTTATCCTAAATTCATGTTTTATATGGATAGTCTGGTCTTCTTTACTTCAAGACAGAGGCACTTAGCCAAGCTTTATTTCAGTCACTTTAGTGATATAAATGCTATATAAATAATAAGTACCTCTTCCCAAGTATACTCTTCATTAGGTGACCTTTCACCTTCCATTGTAAAGGTTTTTCCAGTGCCAGTTTGGCCATATCTGTCAAGATTAACAAAGACATTAAAGAAAAAACAAATTTACGCATCTAAACCTGTTCACCAATTTGAAAAACAGTGTTTCACTCACGCAAAAATAGTGCAATTATAACCCATAATAACTTCATCCAGAATAGGACAAACAACACTTCGGTAAACATCAATTTGTTTAGTGGATGCTCCAAAAACCTAAAAAAAAAAAAAAAAAAAAAAAGTCTTTAGAAAAAATCCCTAAAATCTTATATAATGTATATAACTTTAATATTTTTGTTTTTAATACGTTCACTGACTCAAGCAATAGAAACCATCTGACAACTCAGAGTCCAATCAAGTTAAAATTGTATATTAGAACCAAGAAAAAATATGTATCCTAGGATGACTTTACATTAGTGGATAATAAAAACTTAAGAAGTAAATACCATATCAAAAGTGTATGTTTTCCGTGAGCTCTTGTCATTCAGTCCTCCAGTTCGGACACTAACTTCTTTTCGTGCGTGATCACATTCTACCACAGAGAGGGCGCTGGCCTTCCGCTCTGCCAAATTAAAAGGTCTACAAAAAGAAATACACAAAGTTATTCAAGGAGTCTTAATTATTAGGTTACTGATGACTTTTTCATTAACTATTTTACTTTAGACAAGAACAATGTGAGGTTTTGACTACATTGTTGGTGATAGGGCATAAAAGGGCAATAAATAAATACAACTAAGCCAAACAGAACTTTAAGAGTGTCAATTCCCTAATAAAGTTAGGGCTTTTTTTATTTTTAAATGTATAAAAACATTCCAATTCTGACAGTTTCTTGGAGCAGATGCTAGCAGAATTAAAAACTTATAAAAATACAACGCTTATTTTTCAGAATTCTATTTCCACTCTTCTCAGTATCTGATCAAGTTAAGAGTATGATATAGAAAAAACATGCCAAATTTTTGTTCAAAATACTAACTTGCTAGGGAATAACTGGAAACAAATTTAAAAAGCAGGTAAACATAATGACTGATCTGTTGCAGGCTATGTGTACCTGTACTCACTGTTCCAAATGCTTTACATGCATTAACTTATTTGTCCTCACACTGAAGTCCAGTGGGGAACAGAGACATAAAACAAATGAGTATAGAGAAGTGAAATTTAGAAAGAGTTATGTTAGACAGGGTGCTATGGGAACAAACAGTAAACATTTAATGTTTTATGTCTCGATCGGGGTGGCAGGAAGCAAGAGTGAAGGAAAGATTCTGGGGAAGAAACCTTTTAAGCTAAACTCTTCCTTAGTCATTTCTGCAGTGAGGTCTCTTGATCAAGTCTGTTTGGGTAATTAATGTCCTTTGGTCCTGTTTCCTCATTTAAAAAATGGGGCTAATAGTAGTACCAATATCACAATGTAGATAAAGAAATCTGTTTAATTTACTATTTCCCCAGTGCCTACTACTATACTTAGCACACAACAAGCACTCATCTGTTCAACTATATTACTTAATAAATGCTATTCTATGGGGAATGATGAGAAAGCTAAAAAGAAAAACAGTCCTCAGAATAGCATCCAAAAGATATTTATATAATCAACACAAATCTGGGCCAAAAGAGATATTTTTCTTCTTTTTTTTTTAAATTGAGGTAACAATTTATTGAGGTATGTACAGTTTCTCACCTAAGCTACTGTACATTTCACACCACACCATCAAATGTCCAATCAAGAGAGGAGTTATTTTTTTTTAAAACATAAACAGACCTCTTTTCTTTCTTTCTTTTTTTTTTTAAGATTTATTTATTTATACAAGAACCAGGATACAGGCCAGATGTGCGGGAAGGTGAGAGGACTCACAAGACCAGAGACAGAGTGGGGAACAGAACAGGCAGACTGACTGAAATACACTGCTGAGGGTAGCAGCGGGCAAGACAAGAGAGATCTGCTGCGCCACGTGAGCATCTCCCTGGCCAGCCCAGCCAGGAATCAAACCAGCGCTGTGGAGGCTGCAGACAGTTTCACGGGGCTGTGCTCAACCGCCTGCGCCTTGATCTGAGTTCACTTTTCCCATTGAGTAATATATATTATAGAAGAAAATGTCAAATACAAAATTATCTTTCCCTTCACTACTAGACAAATCATACCTCAACATCTTCTGGTAATGGCCCACTCCCTAGCGTATTTTTGACTGGTCAAAAGAACAAATTTGAGGGCCTCCCTGGTGGCGCAAGGGGTTGGGACACAGCCTATGGGGTGGTCCATAGCCACTGCAGCACAAGTTCGATCTCCAGTCAGGGAGCTACCCCCATGGGGCAGCAGACCTCTCCTGTCTTGCCTGCTGCTCCCCTCAGCAGTGTATTTCAGTCAATCCGCCTGTTCTGCTCCCCACTCTGTCTCTGATGAATCCTCTTACCCCCCACACCTCCGGCCTACACCCCAACTCTTGAATGCACAAATAAATCTTTAAAAAAAATAAAGACTTGAACTGTATGGGGATAATAAACATGAAGTTCAGGATAATGTTTAACTGGGCAGAGGGATGGGGAGAGATTCACTGACTGGAGTTACAGCTATAATGGCTGTCTCCTTTCTTATGTGGTTGATGACCATACAGGTGTTTATTATATTGTTCCTTATAAAATGTTTATAGGTCTGATCATTTTGTAACAATAAAAAAGAAAACTACAAAAATAAAATAATAAAAAAGGCAATCTGCCTTTAAATGATCAAAATAACCTAACAAATATTTGCATCTATTATATAGGCTGTTTATTTCATCTTCAAAACAAGTAACTGACAACAGACGCTCTAGAATGCAACTGGTAATTGGCTAGACTTAAGATATCACCAAACTTCCTCTCTCACAACTAGTTGAGAAAGCTACTACCTCTGATATCTACGATTCAAATCACCAAAATTGGGGATGCAATAACCAAACCTGTTGATACATTATTTAAGAAGACTTTTAACTTCACAATAAGTTTGGATTTACATAAGAGTTGCTAATAGCTGTCAAAACAACAGCAACAAAAACTGACACACAAAACACACATTAAACTGTGAAAGGCCTCTAAAAAGCTGAATAAATCAACCTCTGAGCATTAGTTTGTACAAGTATGTTCTTTCTTCTCTAGATCATTTTAAAACTGGGTAGTTATTCAAGTCAGTCGGGGAGAGTTGAATAACAACACCAACCCATCCCGAAAAAGCTGTCTCCCTTGGTACAGAAAAGACCAAGACACAGCACAATCAGACAGCTATCTATACTGCCTTAAATTATCTCCTTGACCTTTTAAAAACATAAACTCATTCTGACCTAACTTTCAAAATTTAAATACAGTGATGGTTAGCAGAATGTAAGTAAACTTTGCATCTGGGATCAAGAGAACAAAAAACTACGTTTTTAGAGGTGATGGAGATGAAGGTAATCTCAACACAAATAATAAAACATCCACAAAGCAGGTATACAGTCTTATTTCCAAATTAACAAGCTGCAAGGAGTGATCTATAGAAATGACAACTAAATCTTCGTCATCAGATTTTTTTTAAAAGAACACACTTTTCACTAAAGAAATTGTGATCAATTCTGAATAGCCGTTTAAACTATAAACTTCCCAAAAAAAGTCCTTTCTTCTGAAAAACACGCTCATTTACTCCGCACGGTAACCTGACATGGTTTTCTCGAACAGAACGCGGGGAGCTATGAAACACCAAGGTTTGCGTCTCCCCGAAATTGCAAAATTCCTATTCCGGGACCGCGCAGGGAAACCAACCAGCAGCGAAGCCCGGACGCCCCGGGCCCCGTCAGGCTCTGCCTACCTGCATCTCACCACCACCTGGATATTCTTCCCCTTCTCCTCTTTCTTCTTCGCGGAGGAATTCGGCTGGGACGCCATGACGGCGGCCGCCGACCACTCAGGCCTGGCCGCGGGCTCGGGCGCAGCGGGCGCGAGGGCTGGGCGGCCGGCGAGGTCCACCGCCCCTGCGGGCTGCAGGCGTGGCCGAAGGAAGCGGCGCGAGCAGGTCGGCGTCCCGCTCTCCACTGGGGGCACTGGCTAGCCCCGGCGTCAGCCCCGCACCCGCCGCAGCCCCCAAGGCACCGACGTCGTCTCTCCAGGAAGGCCCGGAAACCGAGCAACGATTCGGCGCCTCAATTTGAAAAAGGAGCCCGGACGCCCGGCCAATGGCAGCGCGGCCGCGCAAAGCACCATGGGACGGGTGTCGTCAGTAGAGCCCGACCCTCGGGGCGTGGCCCGCGGCGTAGCGACGAGCGGCGCTCGGCGCTCGGAGCTGCGGCGCTTAAAGCGGCCTTGCTCCAATTACGTGCAGACTCTGAGCTGTGTTACCTCATCTGCAAAATGGAAACGACAGCAACGTTTCCGAGAGTTACAGTGAGAATTAATGAGGTAGTGCGGGTAAGTAGCTTAGACTGGCACGCGTCAGCACGCAGGAAAGGTGGTCGTGATTACAGTTATTAGGAGATATTTGTAAGAAAGTGCCGCGGGAGCACACAGGCCAGAGGGCCAAAGCAGCCACTCTCTGAAAGCAGCATCCAGAATAGTCTTGAAGAATAATTAGGAAGCCTTGGAAGTGAGGCTACTGTGGGGCCGCCCTGATGGCGCAGGGAGTTAAGACGCAATCTATGAAGCAATCCACAGTCTCTGCAGCAAGAGTTCGATCCCCCGGCTCGCCAGGGAGCTACCCACATGGTGCGGCAGACCTCTCCTGGCTCACCTGCTGCTCCCCTCTGCAGTGTACTTAGGTCAGTCTGCCTGTTCTGTCCCCACTCTGTCTCTGATGAATCCTCTCTCTCTCACACACACACACACACCCACGTCTTGCCGGTCCTCCAGCTCTTGTATGCATAAATAAATCTTAAAAAAAAATAAAGTGAGGCTACTATGATACCAAGTCTTGATGAAAAAGACATTGAATTTCATTTTTAGGACTCTGGGTTTATACTTTAACTGATAAGAACTCTTCATTGCAAAATGACAACAAGCAAGATCAGATGGGCATTTTAGGACTACCTTTCTGCAAGGATTGATGTACATCCTGTAGCTTCCTGAGAAAGAGTACAGAGGAGGGAATACATTTCATGAGAATTTGCTTATCTAAAAATTTTATTCTACCCCGACACTGCATTTCTATATAAGTTGTATATTGCGTTCCAGATTCTAAGTATTTTTACTTCATTTTTTGGAGGTGTATCTTAGTTTTCTATTACTGCTCTAACAGTCACCACAAAGTCATAGTAGTTTGAAACAACAAAAATGTGTTCTTTTATAGTTCTGGAGAGCAAAAGTCTTAAATCATTTTCACTGGGTCAAAATCAAGGTGCTGGCAGGATCAGGCTCTCTAGTGTTTTTAGGAGAGAATCCATTTTATGTACCTCGCTGCTGGCATTCCTTGGCTTGTGGTTCATCCCTCCATTCTCTGCCTCCTCTTTTTCTGTGTCAAATTTCCTTTTGCCTCTCCTTATAAGAATACATATATTTAGGACCCACCTGGGTAATCCAGAATAATCTCGCCAGCTCAAAATCCTATGCTGAGAATAGAAAAAGCTACAAATACAGAAAGTAGATTCATGGCTACCAGGGTCTTGAGGTGATGGCTGATGGGGTTTATTTGGGGGATGATTAAAATGTTCTGGAATCAGATAGTTGTGATGGTTTTACAATCCACCTAACTGTGCCCTCTTTTCTTTAAGAGCTTTCAAATTTATTTATTTAAAGATTTTATTTATTTTTGCATAGAAGAACTGGGTATAGGGCAGAGGTGGTGTGTGACAGAGAATTCATCAGAGACAGAGTGGGGAGCAGAACAGGTGGATTTTTACTGAAATACACTGGTAAGGGAAGCAGCAGGCAAGACAGGAGGGGTCTGCTGTGCCATACCTGGATTAACTCCCTGGCTGGAGATGAAATTCAGGCCTTAGAGGTGATAGCACTGAGATCTAACCTCTAGGCCACTAGGGAGGCCCCTCTCTCTGTTCTTTCTTAAACAGTATTTTTCCCTTTAGGGGGCTGAAATTCTGTCATGATATCCTTAGTGTGCATCTATTTTTAACCTTTGGCGTGAGCATTTAGTAAATCCCTTATCTGGAAACCTATTTCCTTCAGTGCTAAGAAATATTTTAGAATTATTCATTGGACATTTTTACTCATATTTTTGCTCTTTCTGGAACTCATTTGTGGATAGTGGATTTCCATCATTTAGTGATTACCACTATCAATATGTTGATGTCCTTTCTAATTGCCTATATTTTAAGCAATTGGAATGACATGTGGTTTTGCATCCTGAATTTTTATTTAATATAACTGAACCATTATTCTAAGTCCTTAAAAATTATTCATAAGCATTTTTTAATTTCTTAAATATTAACTTTGGGATTACATTGTGTACACGTTCCACTCACCCTTCATCCAACCCCCTGTGCCAAACTCCGTCATCCACTCTCCCATATATTCATAAGCACTTTAATTGTATAATCTTTTAACACTCTTGAGCAACATCTATGAAATTCTTTAGTGAATAGCTGAGGAGTGCTTGACTTTAGTTTTCTTTTATTTTAACAATAACAAGAAAAATTTATTTTTTATTTTATACATTTTTTACATTTTTCATTTTTGTACAATGTATGTATTTGCATCTTGGTTATAGTCCCTGTAAAATTCCCACCCCCCTCGTTTTGATCCTTCTTCCTGCCTGTGGTGTGTCTCTGGTTTATAGTTGCTTGTTGATTTTGATTTTTACTTTATTATAGTCTTTTTTCCTGATCCCTATTTAGGTTTTCTAAATTCCTGCTATAAGTGAGACCATCTGGTATTTTTCTTTTTCTTTCTGGCTTATTTCACTGAGCATGATCCCTTCCAGCTCCATCCATGTTGCTGCGATTGATTGCTGAGTAATATTCCATTGTGTATGTGTACCACATCTTCTTCATCCATTGACTTTAGTTTTCTATTTCCATAGCTACCAGAATCATGTTAGGTTCTATTATTGTATGCTTGTGGGTATGAATACCAAGGAGAAAAAGCAGTATATCTGTGTGTACTTTATAAATTGAGGAAAAAACACAGTTCATGAACTGTTCATAAACCTATAAAAAATAGTTCCCAAATCCTTGTGTAATAAGTGCCCCAAGTCCAAGTTTTGGTTACAGTTATTAATATTCTAATAGTAAAACTTCAATAACAAAGATTAATTGGGAGAGAAAGGAAGAGGAAATATGCCAGACTCTCCTGTCCAAAACCTTTGTTATTGATCCTTTTGCTGTCTGGAGTCTTCCCCTCACCTGTTCTCATAAGTGACTCCCTGTTACCTTTTAAGTCACAACCTAAATGTCACTTTCTCAGAGAGACATTCCCCAAGAACTCTATCTAAAGTAGATTTTCAACCCCATGTATTACTTTCTCCACATAGCAAAAGAAGATGCAGAAGTTTCATTCTCTCTGCTGTTTTTTTTTTTTGGCCTACCACAGGACTCTTTCTAGACACCAAAGGCATCTAGGAGAATTAGTGTTCATACAACAAGAATTCAAAAAGAAAAAACAATGTTCACAATGTATAACTTTTAAGCTAGGCTATTAAGGGAGGATCATGAGAAAAGCCCTAAGCAAAACAGTAAGGAAGGAAAAGCAGATGATTGCCCATCCCCAACTTTCAAGTGCTAATTGAGAAAATTATTACTAGGACATTAGAGCAAAAAGGATGTAGGAGGGGAATCCCAAGAGGAATTGGGAAGAGAGTTCCTGAGAAGGGCCAAGGAAGCTAAATCTCCATTGACAGCTGCCTATGCAACCCAAACACTGAATCACAGGCTCTGACCTTTTGCTGAGCTCCTACCTAAAATGTCTCATACGCATGCTTCTGTTGTCAGCAGCCCAGGACATGCATCATCTCCCTTAATACAGATGGTGAGATCTTTACCACCACAGTTCACCCACAGGGACAGTAGCAATGACTGAAGGAAAGTCCCAGAGTTGTTAGTTGGTCGAAACTGGACAGCAGGAAAACTTACCGTGGATGCCCTACTATTATTTTAATCACACTATGTTACTTTATACAAGTATTAATTTACTTGTTTATCTCTCTCACTACAATGTAAACCCCACAAAACTAGAAACCTGATTGTTCTTTTTTCTGGTGTATCCTCAACATCTAAAGCAAGATCTGGGTCCATCTTTATTGATAAATCTAGAGTAATTTTACTGTGGAAAATGAATTATAGATTTTTATATTAATATTTCAGGTACTAACCATAAAGAAACTCAAACTTTAAGGAAAACAAGTATTCACTTAGGAAAACTTTTAACAAATAGATCTATAGTTAATAAATCAATTATCTATAGACATTTTTAAAAATTCATGTTGCTTTTTTATTACTATAAAGTATTTATACTATAAAGTGTATTTTATTACTATAGTACTGTACTTAAAACTTGCGTTATAAAACTTTTATCATGGAGAATTTCAAACAGATACGAAAGCAAAGAGAATAGTATAATAAATCTGCCAGACATCCACTACCAGCTTCAATAATTGTCATTTCTTGACCAGTTTTGTTTTATTTAGCTTACTCCCCCTCCCCATGAATTATTATTTCAGCACATATATATATTTAAAAAGCACAACAATTAACACACCAAGAAATTAACACAATTATATACAATCAATGTTTTCACTTTTCTGATTGTCTCATAAATATTTCTTTTTTACACACAATAGGTTTGTTCAAATTAGGATTCAAACAAGAACCAAACATATTTGGTAATATATTTCTCTTTTTGTGTTTTACTTTTTTAAAGATTTTGGAGATTGGAGAGTTAAAGATTTTGGAGATTTTAAAGATTTTTAAAGATTTTGGAGATTTTTAAAGATTGGAGTACAGCAAACAGAAATATAAAAAAATCATAAGTGTACAGCCCAGTCTATTTTCAAAAACTGAACACAGCCACATAAAACACATCCCAGAAGCCTCCCTTATTTTCCCTTTCAATCACTGCCGCTCCAAGAGCAACCACTAACCTGATTTCTAACACTACGTATTTTTGCCTGGTTTTTAACTTTATATGAATAGATTCTTACATAGTATGCTCTATTGGGCCTGGTTTCCTAAGACGCTTGAGTAAGAGTGTGACTCTGATATCTTGATTTTGGACTCTGGCCTTCATACTACAAGAATGAATTTGTTTTGTTAAACCACTTAGCTTGTGGTAACTTGTTATGTCAACTTGTTATGCAGGTCAGTTGGGACTAGACTAATATGGTGAAATTTTATCTTACATTAGGAGCATGTTTGGAACTTGTAAGACTGTAGGGAGAGCGGAAATTGGATGGACATTGGTACTATCCCTTTTCTTTGCTGTCTTCCTCCCACTCCAGCAAAAACTAGTTGAGGGCAGGACCTTTTTAATTCATGTTTGTGACCATATAGGGTTATATACCTATGCTCAGTAAACATGTTGAACATAACTTTAAATTTTATTTTGTTATTAATTTCTTAGATGTCCTTTCTCTTTAGTTATTAGCACAAAATTTTGAGCTGGTAGACTGAGAATTCAGGAGATTCTATTATATTTTGATTATTTAACAAGAAAATAGATTAGTTCAAAACATTGCTTTTCTAAATGTTAGCAATTTGCCAAATCTGCCTCTGGGTTTCTCCCCTCAATTCATTAGGAATACCTGAGTGAGCTCCATGGTACTCAATCTGGGCTAATGGAAGGAAACTATAGCACAGATGAACCAACATTTGGCTTCAGGTGTGTTTTAGAATACTCACATTTGAATATGTATCTAACACTTTCTTCAGTGACAAGGGAATGACTTGTCGTATTACTGTTTTCTGCTCTAAAGTAGGTGTCTAGGTGGTTCACATTTTATACTTGTGGGAAAGATTATATCCGGGATCTTCATCTTGCCCACTTTTTCTCATCTGGGCTCTGCTCAAATGTTACCTCATCACAGAGGCCTTTTCCTGACAATCCTATTTAAAATATCAATAGTCTCCTACTCCATTAGTTCCTATCCATTTAGCCTGCTCTTCATTTTTCCTTATAGCACTTTTCATCATTTATTTACTTGATTATTGCCTGTTTTCCCCACACAGCTAGAAAGTAAGTTCCGTGAAGACAGAACATCATTTTTGTATACTGCTATCTCCCTAGCACCTTTAATAACATTTGGCACATTAAATGTAATCAATAAATATTTGTCAAGTCAACAAAAGAATAAGAAAGTTTCACAGGCTCTGGACTCTGTCAGTGCTGGGTTCAAAATACAGCTTTACTTTTTTGTGCATTCATAGGTAAATTGCTTAATCTCTCTATTCCACTGTTTTGGCTTGTTTAGCTGTAGTAAGTAGAGAATATCCATTACAGGGGCGGGGTGGGTGGTTGTGAAAATTAAATAAGATCTGTGTACAATGTCAAACACATAGTAAATTCTCAAAATTGTTAGTTTCTTTCCACTTATTTCCTCTACTGAAACGATAATATCCTTTCTTATGCTAGTACACACACTCCAACCAGAGGGACATTTATCAAGAAGGTAATGAAATTTCAACTTCAGTGATGTTCACTTGGACAGGTCCCAGACAAGGGGTTGTAAGAAGGGAAGCATTTTTATGTATTTCTAATAGCTTAGGTGATCTCATAAGAAAAGGGTCCTGAATCTTCAAGTCTTTTTTTTTTTTATACATACAAGAGCTGGGTTGTAGGCCAGAGGTAGAATGTGTGTGTGTGTGAGAGGATTCACCAGAGACAGAGTGGGGAGCAGAACAGGCATATCTACTGAAATACACTGCTGAGGAGAGCTGTGCCATATGGTTCAGCTCTCTGGTGGGAGATTGAACTTGTGCTGCAGTGGCTGCAGAGAGGTTCATAGTGCTGAGACTTAACCCCTTGTGCCACAGGGGAGGCTCCCTGAATCTTCAAGTCTTGATTAATATATTGTAATTTTTCCCTAAATATTAATTACTTTGATTCCTACTTTCCTACTTTTGTATTCTTTTTTTTTTCTTTTGTATTCTTTTTTTTTTTTTTTTTTTTTTTTTATTGCTTCAGTCAATGAAAGGGAAACTTTATTGAGGGCCCAGCGTCAAGGGGCTTGGGCAGGAGTTGCCTGCAGGCAAAGGAAGGAAGGGTCTTATTTGACCTTCTTCTTGGGGCGCAGGTTGTTGGTATGGCCACACTTCTTCTTGCGGCAGTTGACAGCACGGGGGTGCAGACGAGCATAACACTTGCGGCAGATCATCTTGTCGCAGTTATACTTCTGGGCCAGCTGGCGGAGGGAAGGTTCAATGATGCCACCCCGAAGGCGCAGTACCAGGTGCAGGGTAGATTCTTTCTGAATATTGTAGTCTGAGAGAGTGCGACCATCTTCCAGCTGTTTGCCAGCAAAAATCAGACGCTGCTGGTCAGGTGGGATGCCCTCCTTGTCTTGGATTTTGGCTTTGACATTTTCAATGGTGTCACTAGGCTCGACCTCGAGGGTGATGGTCTTGCCCGTCAGGGTCTTCACAAAGATCTGCATTTCTGCGACTGCCGCGCGGCCGCCTCGTTGAAGAGAAAGAGGGCGGCCTTCTTTTGTATTCTTAATTTGTATTCTATTTAAGTGGTTCTCCAAAGTATGTTTCAGGTCCTTCAAAGCCTGAATCCATAGTAACCCCAATTCATGCATAGATTCCTAAGTGAGCATATATTCAAAAGTCTGTATAAACACTCAGATGAACTGCTCCAAGATGTTTGACTAGCCCACACTGGGTGTAATTTAAACATTCTTTTTTTTTTTTAAGATTTATGTATGTATGTATGTATGTATGTATGTATGTATGTATTTATTTATTTATACAAGCACTGGGTATAGTCAGAAGCGCGGAAGGGTGAGAGAATTCATCAGAGCCAAAGCGGGGAGCAGAGCAGACAGAAGGACCGAAGTACACTGCTGAGGGGAGCAGCGGGCGGCAGGAGAGGTCTGCACGCCCTGTGGGACTCTCGCCAGGGGCCGGTATCAAACCGAGCCCAGCGCTCAACCGCTGCACCACCAGGGATGGCCCGTAATTTAAACATTCTTATGATCACATATTTGCAGACACCACTGAAGGTATGTAGTAATTTTCACCTCATTGTTCATCCATCCAACATCCACTTGATTAAAAGATCCTCCTTCTGAATTCCCAGCTGAAGTGATAACACGAGTCAGAACACTGTTCTTGGCTGCAGTCTTTGGTCTGCCACACAGAAACCTAAAAGCACTTAAGCTAAGGAGTCACTATTCCTAATTGCACACTTCCTTCAAGAATCCCATAAAATAATGTAATGGAAAGTAAGATCCACAGCAACTATTCGGTTGTTCTCGGATGCAAAGTACCATAGTCATCAGGGAAAGTAAACTGACAATAGTATTACAGTCACAAACGGTTACATAGTAGTTATATAACTACAATAGTAGTAGTAGTAGTACTACTACTGTTACATAAACTGCAACGTACCCTGTATGTTACGTTGTAGTAAAAAGTTCTGGTTTCTATTGTGGATTTGAAAGTCCACGATAGCCTTGTTTTGCTTTGGCCTGTCCCACCTTCACCTCGGTTTTCGCAGGGCTGCTGGCTTTTCCAAGGTCCAGGCCTCCCTCTGGTGGACCCCGATTCTAACTTCACCCGCTGTGGCTGACGACCCCACCGCACTGTAGAGGGAGCCCGCGGGCCGCGGATCCGTTTTCAGTTGAGGCCGCAGCGCCGGCTGACCTTGTTCCAACACCTGCGAGGGCCGGGCCCCCAGCCCGCGGGGACGCGGCCGCAAACATGGCCCCTGCGTCCTCCGAGCGCGCGTGAGGTCCTGCGCGCGCGCGCGCGCACACACACACACACACACACACACACACACACTCACACACACACACACTCACACACCCCACCCCACCCCCACCCCCACCCCCAGGTGCACACCTCCGCCTCCCAGGTGCGCCCGAGTGACCCGGACCGGACCCTCCCCGCCTTGGAAGGCCGGGCGGCCGGGCTGCCGCAGCTCCCGGCCAAAGCCCGTCAGACCCCGCGCTGAGCCCGGGCCGCGGCCCCCGCCATCCCGCCCCCTCCGGCCGCCGGGGCGCTCTCCTGGGCGGCGCGGCGCGAGGGACTGAGCATGCGCGGCGCCCGGGCCGCCTCCCCGCGTCAGGAGGAAGCGTCCGCTGCGCTCCCGGCGGCTGCGCTGGGGTATGCGGTACCGGCTCGCGTGGCTGCTGCACCCGGCGCTGCCCAGCACCTTCCGCTCCCTCCGCGGCTCCTGCCCGCCGCAGCGCCTCCGCGGGTAAGCGCGCCCGGCGCCTCGCGGCCCGCGGGTCACGGCGGCCGCGCTCGGGCTGCAAAGTGGTGATTCAGCACTTGAAGCCGCCCCTCGCGCCGCCCGTCGGGGACGGCGCCCCGAGGCCGCGCGGGGCCTGGAAGGGCGGCTGGAGGGCCCGGCCGGGAGGCGAGGGCGGTCGGGGCTGTGACCTCGGGTCACGGGGCGTGTGTCACAAGTGCGGGCGGCGCGGGAGCGGGGTCACCCCGGGGAGCCTGCGGGGAGCGGACCGCGAGCCCCGGGCCGGCTGTCTCCGGCCATGGGGTGAATGAGGGAATCCCAGTCCGGGGAGACCGCTTCTCGCCCTCCTCTCCCGCCTCCCCGGCTTTTTCCTGCGGGGACTGAGTTCCCAGCACTGTCTGGAAATGTCTGCTTTGGAAACGTAAAGTTTTCCTGCCTCTGCCTGAGTGACTAGACGGCTGTTGGGTTTCCTGCCCGGGAGAATTCGGGAGCCGAAAGACACTTGGTGTCCGTCACGGTGCCTCCATGTACACCCGAGAAGGCGGAGGCCCAGAGAGATTGTGTAATTTCCCCACAATTGCAGAGATTGTGGCAAAAACCAGGAGCGGGAAGCGGGGCTTTTATTTATAATTTATTGCCATCCGGTGGCGTTCTCGCTCAGTGTTGCCGCTCTGTGTGTACTGAAAATTTTCAACCTTGTTGCAAAAGCTGAGTACTCTTTCTTTACTTTGAGTAGGAAGGAATTGGCAAAGGTGGGCAGTATTGTCTCGCTCTACTTACTTTATTTGAACCCTTTCTCTGAGTTGTTGTTTTTTTTTTTTTTTAAGATTTATTTATGCATACAAAAGCTGGGGTACAGGCCAGAAATGGGAGGAGTGAGAGGATTACCCAGGGACAGAGTGGGGAACAGAATACGCAGATCGACTGAAGTACACTGCTGAGGGGAGCAGGGGGCGAGTTAGGAGAGATCTGCTGCGCCATGTGTTTAGCTGGCTGGCGGGGGATCGAACTCGTGCTGCAGCGGCTGTGGATTGCTTCATAGTGCGGTGCTTAACCCCTTGCCCAACAGGGAGGCTCCCTTCCTCTGGTTTTGATTAAATCTAAGATCTGCCAAGTACAGGGGACTGTGATAGGACCCCCCCCCCCGGAAATATGTGTTCTTCTTTCCAAGGAACTTTGACTTTGTTGGAGGGGATTAAGATACCACGAGAGTATAGCCAGCTGAAAAGATGTTTGACCAGGGCCAGAGATGACCAGTGGGCAGTGTTTACTTTAGAAACACGGTTGAGCGCTGGGTTGCGAGGCAGCCCGCAGCCTCTGCAGCGCCAGTTCCATCCCCGGACAGGGGCGAGGGTCCCACAAAAAAAAAAAAAAAAAAAAAAAAAGGGTAGAAACACATTGTGGGGCAGAGATAGAGGAGGGTGTCTGGGAGGGTGGGCAGGGATAGAGGTAGTTAAGTCTAGGTGTGCAGGTAATCTGTACTGGGGGGACAGGGAGCACATTAGTCGAGTTGGGTCACTGGTGAATTTCCATTGGGAGGAATTAGGCAAAAACAAGTCCTGCAGTATTATAAAAGTAGAATAATAATAGCCTGGGCCCTGAATTTTAGTTGGACTTTTCCTCTGTGAATAGTAGGGAATCATTAAGAATTTGGGGGCTGGGGAATGAGCTGATGAAACTGGTAGATTTGGATATTAGTTTGGTGACTGTACTGAATGTAAAAGAGCAGCTGGAGAGAGACCTGAGGCAGAGAAACAGGTTGGGACTTAGTCTTTACTATATGAACTAGGATGGTGGGTTATAGTACTAAGAAGGCCAAAAACAAATGAAGAATCTTTGGAACTTGTTTTCCCTCCTTTCTTTCCCACTACACCACAGAATCCTCTATAAAATGTCAAAAGATCAATGCACTTTTTTCTTAATTCATGTTGATAGGCAAGATTTATTGCTACCAGATTGATTGTTTTCAGTGTGTGGCATTTGTGATTTTTAGAGAAAGCATCAATTTTAACAGTTTCATACAACTAAAAGATTTGCATGTCCTATGTACAATTCTACTTGCTCTATGGTTTCTCCCACTGTTCTTCATTGATGAAGCAATGGCAGGTTGAACAGAGCTTTAGGATAAAGTTGCTCTCAGAGAGGGAAATTCAGGAAATTCAAAGCATGATGAATGTGATCAGCATTTAGAAAACTCTACCCTAAAAATTATTGACTGCAGCTATTAGGGAAAATGTAGATCTAATTTAAGGGACCAGGGCATAGTTTTAGGAAGGAGAGTACTAACGTCTGAAACTACCACACATACTCAAATCTTGAGGAAAGTGATCAACCCTATCGTACATAGTAGGAAGAATGTGTTTAACATGTATGGTCATATTTGATAGAAGAGTTGAAATTTAACCCATTACTGTCTCATGCGAGAGCTTGAGCTCTGAACTCTTAACAGTGTTTGGGCATTTCTTTGCTCTTGAGAAAGTAATGGTCATAAAGCATTTGTATAAGATCAGTTCATTTTAAAAAGCAGCCTCATTGTCCCCTTTTCAGACCATATTGGATAAATTGGACCTATATGTAACTTTCTGAGCTATAGGGGGAACTTGGAGGTAATAGATCAGTTCCTGGCAACCAAAACCCCCAAGCATCAGTCATCTCACTTTGCAGGCAGCTCTACTTTGCATTTCTCTGTTCTCTAGGCTTAGGAAACAGTGGTATACCAGGTGGGACTATTAAGAATCAAACTTTTAAACTACTTTTAACCAGAAAAAGTGCTTTTTAATGTCTAAAGGGACAGGATACCCTTGAGTGTTTTTAATTAGCATTGACCCAGTCCACACATAGTACAAAGTTATTCTGCCTGTATGCCTTGGAATTTTGGCTTGGGGACAATATCAAGTTCACTGCTAAAAGTCCAGTTTTATCCTTTACCAAACAGTTCACCACTTTTACCCACCCTGCCTTTTTGTTATTGTTTTTTTTAAAAAAAGATTTATTTATGTATACAAGAACTGGGGTACAGGCCAGACATGGGGGGGGGGTGAGAGAACTCACCAGAGACAGAGTGGGGAGCAGAACAGGCAGATTGACTGAAATACACTGCTGAGAGGAGCAGTAGGTGAGTCAGGAGAGGTCTGCTGCACCATGTGGGTAGCTCCTTGGCTGGGGCTCAAACTCATGCTGCTGTGGCTGCAGATAGCTTCATAGGTTGTATCTTAACCCCTTGCACCACCAGAGAGGCCCTCACCCTGTCTTTGGTATATGTTCTCATAAGAATTGTTCCCCTGTTGGTATTTTAGATCTCCTAAACATGAACCCGATCAGCCTGCCTGTCAGCTAAGGTGACAGGACTAAAGTACTCTTGTTCCATAGTGATAGATTCTCTACGTATGTTGGCTTCTGGAGCCCCTGGTAGGGTGTTTCCAGTTGAATTGTTTTATGGTCTCTGTCTGTTCATTCAGCCATTATTTGAATGTCTGCTGTGTAGTGATCACTTACTGTGCTCAGCATTGTGAGGAATACAAAAGAGTCAGTGGTCATTTCTGTCCTCAAGGAACTTTCAATCAAATAGTGGGTAGTTTCACTCTTTTACAACCTCTGACCATTTACTAAGCATCTCCACTTTTGTGTTCTGTTGTGTCTTTTAAATTATTAAAAAAAAATAATAATGTTTTATAACCATACTTTCTTCTTTGAAAAGTGGAACTTGTAAGTTCGTGCAGAGTTAAAGCTAGAAAGTCTTTTATTCCCTCCAAAGAACTATAGTTTCCCCTTGCCTACTAAAAGTGGGTAACTTAAAAAAAAAAAAAGGTAGGACTTTACTGCTCACTAAGTAGGAGGTATCACATTCTGCCTGTCATGTTTATCATATGAATGAATGAATGGTTTCCCTTCAAACCCAGTTTTCTCTGTTGATTTTCCTAGTTTGGTGTATGTCAGTATCATTTTTTTCATTTTGCCTGGAAATTGGAGTAATCTTTGAATCTCCCTCTTTTCCCTAACTGCCAGGTCCCAAGATCAAACTATTTTGTGTCTCCCATCCCAAAGTTTGTTGGAGTAAACTTGATCTTCCTCACCTTTGTAGTTCAGAGCATAATCATTATCCCCAACATCGCACATCTACAAGTTTCATAGCTGAATTTTTTTAGCATCTTATCATCCTACTAATTGACCCTTATCAGATTAATCCTATTATTACACTACTTTCCCCCTGCCTTTGTCTTGGTTAGACATCACCTACTTTTCTGCACTATTTTAAGATCAAATTCAGACTTGCTGACCTGGCATTTAAGTGTATCGTAGGTTGACTCTACCTTAACTTCTCAACATAACTTTAATTTTCCCTGACCAGACTCACCAATTTATTGTCTCTTGTTCATGCTTTGTTCATTTCCAATTTTAGAATGCCCTTTTCATTTCTTTTTTTTAAAGATTTATTTATTTATGCATATAAGAACTGGGGTGCAGAGTAGAGGTGCAGGGGGTGAGAGAGGATTCACCAGAGACAGAATGGGGAGCAGAACAGGCAGATCTACTGAAATACACTGCTGAGGAGAGCAGCAGGCAAGACAGGAAAGGTCTGCTGTGCCATGTGGGTTACCTCCCTGGCTGGCCAGGGATCAAACACGTGCTTCAGTGACATGATAGCTCTGAGATCAAACATGTGCTTCAGTGACGTGATAGCTTCAGTGACGTGATAACCTCCCTCTGTGCCACAGGGAGGCCCCGGTTTAAAGTTAAAGACAAAGTTCGTATAATAGCAAGAAGAAAGGTCCTTTGGGATCTAGCCTCTCACCACATTTCTGATCAGGTTCAAAATAATCACTCTCACTTCTTTGTAGTCATACTAGTCTCCTTGCTTGACTTGTGCTTTGTCAGATTATTTTCAGTTTTTCCCTCTCCTTCAAATGCTCTTTTACTAGTGAGATCAGGAGTGCTTCACAGAGAACATAGGATTAGAGTAAATGTCTTTGAAAGAAATATAAAATTTGAATGAACAGGCTATCACCTTGCCCCAGATCTTAGGGGCATGATGGCAGTGCTGGTGCAATGCCAAACCAAGGACATTTGCACTCCATTGACTTGCTGCTTGGAATTATATTGCTACCACAGCAAGCCTGGCACTCTCCCAATCCCTTCTCAAGCTGCTACTTGTGACAAGGGGCCCATCGTTCTGCCCGAGCTGTTGCTTGTGGTAGGGAGTTCCTGAGACTCCATTGGGCTGGAAATTTCCCTCTAGCCAAGTGGATGCTGGCAGCCCTTCTTTTCTGGGGCAGGAGCATTGGACAGAACAAGCATAAACAACAAAGCAAAGCAGGCAATGGAAACCACTTCCTGGGACCGTGAGAAAAAAATTGGATGAACAGAGAAGAAGAGAGATAAGTATTTTAGGTAAAAGAAGTGGTACTAGTGAAGACTCAGAAGTCGGGAATCTTGTACTATAATCAAGAGGGGAGATTTTATCATATAAAAGCACAGAACCTCATATCTTTTGACCAGTAGAACGACATATGAAAGCTGTGTTTATAGAGGATTACTTTGGTTGTTGAAAGCACAGGTAGAGATTGAAGGATAAAGAAGTAGGGCAAATAATAAGGAAAAGAGTGTCTGTAGAAGATAAAGTATGAAAGAGGAGTCAGAACTGTGGTTGGTATAGTGGGAGTTGGAGGAGTCAAAGAGATCTAAAGTCTTGGGCCTCACTGACTTTGAGTTTTAGTGTGGAGATGAGCCTAGACAAGGAGGGGCCACAGTGTAG